TGTGTGCCTCTCTATTCTTCCTCCATACTCTGGGTCCTTGCTGACTTTTGTTTATTGTTCAGGAGCAGCTTGACAAGAGGAATACAACATTTGAAGCCCATGTCCAGGATCCGACTGTGTGTGGTGGCTCTTGATGCACTGACTCCAGCCTCAGTCCACTCCTTGTGAAAGTCCCCAACACTTTTGAATGGCCTTTTTCCGCACAATCCTCTCCAGGCTGCAGTCATCCCTGCTGCTTGTGCACCTTTTTCTTATACACTTTTCCCTTCCACATAACTTTCTATTAATGTGCTTTGATACAGCACTTTGGGAACATCCAGCTTCTTTTGCAATTACCTTTTGAGGCTTTCCCTCCTTATGGAGGATGTCCGTGTCGGTTTTCTGCACAACTGTCAGGTCAGCAGTCTTTCCAATGATTGTGATTCCTACTGAACCAGACTGAGAGACCATTTAAAGGCTCAGGAACCCTTTGCAGGTGTTATGGCTTAATTAGCTGATTAGAGCGGGACACTTTGAGCCTAGAATATTGCACCTTTTCACAATATTCTAATTTTCTGAGATTGTGGATTTGGGGTTTTCATGAGCTGTAAGCCATAATCCTCACAATTATGACAAATCACGGTTTGAACTATCTTGCTTTGCACGTAATGAGTCTATCTCATATATTAGTTTCACCTTTTATGTTGCATTACTGAAATAAATGAACTTTTGCACGATATTCTAATTTTTTGAGTTTCACCTGTATATATACACACACACACACTGCATGTTGACATGCGTTTTTATTACAAAATATATGAAAAATATTTTTAAAAATACATTTCAAATATACTGTATGTCTTTAAAAATACAGATCTACATTTTTCGAATGCATTTACAGATATATGTAAAAATATATGTTAAAATGACTTTTTATATGTATAAAAAAAAAATCTGAGTACCGTATATTAAAAAAATTTTTTTTTAAAAATATCTTTTTTTTTAAATATATTCTTCAGATTTTTTTTTTTTTACATATAAAAAAGTCATTTTAACATATATTTTTACATATATTTATAAATGCATTCCAAAAATGTACAGTCAGGTCCATAAATATTGGGACATAGACACAATTCTAACATTTTCGGCTCTATACACCACCACAATGGATTTGAAATGAAACAAACAAGATATGCTTTAACTGCAGACTGTCAGCTTTAATTTGAGGGTATTTACATCCAAATCAGGTGAACGGTGTAGGAATTACAACAGTTTGCATATGTGCCTCCCACTTGTTAAGGGACCAAAAGTAATGGGACAATTGGCTTCTCAGCTGTTCCATGGCCAGGTGTGTTATTCCCTCATTATGCCAATTACAATGAGCAGATAAAAGGTCCAGTGTTTATTTCAAGTGTGCATTTGCATTTGGAATCTGTTGCTGTCAACTCTCAAGATGAGATCCAAAGAGCTGTCACTATCAGTGAAGCAAGCCATCATTAGGCTGAAAAAACAAAACAAACCCATCAGAGATAGCAAAAACATTAGGCGTGGCCAAAACAACTGTTTGGAACATTCTTAAAAAGAAGGAACGCAACAGTGAGCTCAGCAACACCAAAAGACCCGGAAGACCACGGAAAACAACTGTGGTGGATGACCGAAGAATTCTTTCCCTGGTGAAGAAAACACCCTTCACAACAGTTGGCCAGATCAAGAACACTCTCCAGGAGGTAGGTGTATGTGTGTCAAAGTCCACAATCAAGAGAAGACTTCACCAGAATGAATACAGAGGGTTCACCACAAGATGTAAACATTGGTGAGCCTCAAAAACAGGAAGGCCAGATTAGAGTTTGCCAAACGACATCTAAAAAAGCCTTCACAGTTCTGGAACAACATCCTATAGACAGATGAGACCAAGATCAACTTGTACCAGAGTGATGGGAAGAGAAGAGTATGGAGAAGGAAAGGAACTGCTCATGATCCTAAGCATACCACCTCATCAGTGAAGCATGGTGGTGGTAGTGTCATGGCGTGGGCATGTATGGCTGCCAATGGAACTGGTTCTCTTGTATTTATTGATGATGTGACTGCTGACAAAAGCAGCAGGATGAATTCTGAAGTGTCTCAGGAATATTATCTGCTCATATTCAGCCAAATGCTTCACAACGCTTCACAGTGCAGATGGACAATGACCCAAAGCATACTGCAAAAGCAACCAAAGAGTTTTTGAAGGGAAAGAAGTGGAATGTTATGCAATGGCCAAGTCAATCACCTGACCTGAATCCGATTGAGCATGCATTTCACTTGCTGAAGACAAAACTTAAGGGAAAATGCCCCAAGAACAAGCAGGAACTGAAGACAGTTGCAGTAGAGGCCTGGCAGAGCATCACCAGGGATGAAACCCAGCATCTGGTGATGTCTATGCGTTCCAGACTTCAGGCTGTAATTGACTGCAAAGGATTTGCAACCAAGTATTAAAAAGTAAAAGTTTGATTTATGATTATTATTCTGTCCCATTACTTTTGGTCCCTTAACAAGTGGGAGGCACATATGCAAACTGTTGTAATTCCTACACCGTTCACCTGATTTGGATGTAAATACCCTCAAATTAAAGCTGACAGTCTGCAGTTAAAGTACATCTTGTTTGTTTCATTTCAAATCCATTGTGGTGGTGTATAGAGCCAAAAATTTTAGAATTGTGTCGATGTCCCAATATTTATGGACCTGACTGTAGATTTTTATTGTTAAAGACTTACAATATATTTGAAATGTATTGTAAAATATATTTTTCATATATTTTGTAATAACACATTTCAACATGCAGTATATATGTATGTGTGTATACAGTCATGGCCGAAATTGTTGGCACCCTTGATATTTCTCCAGGAAATCATGTATTTCTCACGAAACGTAGCATTAACACATGTTTTGCTATACACATGTTTATTCCCTTTGTGTGTATTGGGACAAAACAAAAAAAGGGAGGAAAGAAAGCAAATTCGACATAATGTCACACAAACCTCCAAAAATGGGCTGGACAAAAGTATTGGCACCCTTTCACAACTGCGGATAAATAAGAATGTTACAAGCATGTGATGCTCCTGTAAACTCACCTGGGGCAAGTAACAGGTGTGGGCAATATAGAAATCACACCTGAAAGCAGATAAAAAGGAGAGACGTTCACTTAACCTTTGCATTGTGTGTCTGTCTGTGCCACACTAAGCATGGACAACAGAAAGAGGAGACGAGAACTGTCTGAGGACCTGAGAACCAAAATTGTGGCAAAATATCAACAATCTCAAGGTTACAAGTCCATCTCCAGAGAACTAGATTTGCCTTTGTCCACAGTGCGCAACATTATCAAGAAGTTTGCAACCCATGGCACTGTAGCTAATCTCCCTGGTCGTGGACGGATGAGGAAAATTGATGAAAGATTGCAACGCAGAATAGTCCGGATGGTGGATAAGCAGCCCCAAACATGTTCCAAAGACATTCAAGCTGTCCTGCAGGCTCAGGGAGCATCAGTGTCAGCGCGAACTATCCGTCGACATTTAAATGAAATGAAACGCTATGGCAGGAGACCCAGGAGGACCCCACTGCTGACACAGAGACATAAAAAAGCAAGACTACAGTTTGCCAAAATGTACTTGAGTAAGCCAAAAGCCTTCTGGGAAAACGTCTTGTGGACAGATGAGACCAAGATAGAGCTTTTCGGTAAAGCACATCATTCTACTGTTTACCGAAAACGGAATGAGGCCTACAAAGAACAAAACACAGTACCTACGGTAAAATATGGTGGAGGTTCAATGATGTTTTGGGGTTGTTTTGCTGCCTCTGGCACTGGGTGCCTTGACTGTGTGCAAGGCATCATGAAATCTGAGGATTACCAAAGGATTTTGGGTCGCACTGTAGGGCCCAGTGTCAGAAAGCTGGGTTTGCGTCCAAGATCCTGGGTCTTCCAGCAGGACAATGACCCCAAACATACGTCAAAAAGCACTCAGAAATGGATGGCAAAGAAGCGCTGGAGAGTTCTGAAGTGGCCAGCAATGAGCCCAGATCTAAATCCCATTGAACACCTGTGGAGAGATCTTAAAATTGCTGTTGGGAAAAGGTGTCCTTCCAATAAGAGAGACCTGGAGCTGTTTGCAAAGGAAGAGTGGTCCAAAATTCCGGGTGAGAGGTGTCAGAAGCTTATTGATGGTTATAGGAAGCGACTGATTTCAGTTATGTTTTCCAAAGGGTGTGCAACCAAATATTAAGTTAAGGGTGCCAATACTTTTGTCCAGCCCATTTTTGGGGTTTTGTGTGACATTATGTCATATTTGCTTTTCTGCCTCTGTTTTATATTTGTTCCAATACATACAAAGGGAATAAACATGTGTATAGCAAAACATGTGTTAATGCAAACCTTTTTTGTGTGAAATACTTGATTTTCAGGAAAAATATCAAGGGGTGCCAACAATTTCGGCCATGACTGTATGTATGTATGTATATATGTGTGTGTGTATTTATTGAAATATATTGAATATGGCCAAAATTGTAGCATTTAAAATATTCATTCATTTATTTCAGGTACTTCTATAGCACCGTCAACTTACGCAGCGCTTTACATATATATTGTACATTCACATCAGTCCCTAACCCTCAAGGGGCGTACAATCTAAAGTCCCTAACTCACATTCATATACAAGGGCCATTTTTAGACAGGATCCAATTAACCTACCAGCATGTCTATGGAGTGTGGGAGGAAACCGGAGTCCCCGGAGGAAAATATATGGTAATATATTTGGGAAGATTATTTTTAAAAATATATTTCAAATATATTTTTCTTCCATATGGGTATGAAAATGTATTTAAGATGAATTGATAAGACTATACATCGCTTTTGATATTGCTTCTAGGTGGTGTAACCATTGAAGGTATTTATGCCTGTTATACGCATATCTCAGCCTGCTATAGACCTAATTTAAGAAGGATGCTGAGAAGTATATTTCTATTTTTCCTATCCCAACTCTACTTGACAGATATCAGCCATACACCCGCTTCATTTATCGGCCCCTGCTTGGAATCCAGAGTGACTCAGTTCATTAAGAAGTATGTGGCTTCCTGCTTGCTGGTCTCCGACACAAATACGGAGTTGTCTTACATCCTCCCCAGTGAATCTGTTAGAAAAGGCTGCTTTGAACGCCTGTTCCAGGTAAACAGATTTCTGTAGTCATACTGAAGATTTATTACATTAATGTTTTACAGATTTTTTTTTTCAGTCCCCGCCTCTGAGGAGCTTCCAGTTTACTGTCCCTACCACACTTGTAATTGTCTTTTAGGGCAAAATTGTTCTGATGTTAGTTAACCTATCAGTATGTGTCCAACATATGGGGGGAAACCAGAATAGCTGGAGAAGACCCACAGAAAGAAGGGAAGAACATACCAACTCAATGCAGATCATGTCATTGATGGGATGCAGTGGCATTTTGTAGATTGGAGAAGAGTCTTAAAGTGAGCCTGTGCTGTGCCCATGGAGAAAAAAAAAAACAAGTTTAGTTAACTCCCTCCTTCCCCCACTGCACATTTACTTTTGTGCACAGTGCTGCAAAAACTTAGCTGTGATCCCAGCTGTAACTTTGCTGTCCCTGCGCAGGACTTCAATTGGAGTAGTCAGCCTCTTAGACTTAGTGGTCAGTGGTCGGGTTGTTATACATGGCACTGGTCCTGATTTCTTATTCTTAAAAGTGAAACTTCATCCAGTGTTGCAGCACCATGTGATTCATTGGCTGGGCTGTGTAGGTATAAAAGCAGCTGCTGATAGATGCAAAGAACTGCTGAGTGATCTGTTGCTATTATGAATGAATGATCAGCACTGATTATTCGTTCATAACAATAAAAGATCATTCAGAGCTGCAGCTCTGCTTACTGTTTGTAAACACAAAGTACGGGCAGATAGATTACACAGAGCCGCAGCTCTGTGATCTTTTACTGTTATGATTCAACAAGCAGTGCTGATTGCTCAGTCATAATAATGACTTAGAGAGTAGTCTGAGCTCTGTATTGGCTATAGAAAGGTGCAAATGTCTAGTGCATTATCTCAAGCACTTTATTAAAAGATAAAAAGATACAAAATGTACTCACAAGCCAAAATGGAATGGTAGCATGTCATGATACTTGAGTCATTACTCTGAGTAAGGGGGCCCTGGAAACACGTCAGCTATTTTCGCCACCCATGTGATCCCATGAGGTTGGAGGGCGGACTTCTGGATTCTGTATCATGACACACTACCATTCTATTTTGGTATATGAGTACATTTTGGATCCTTTTATCTTGAGATAATGCACTAGGCACTTGCGTCCATCTGTTGTTTATCGTTTTGCAGTACAAGATTTTCCGATCTGCGGAGGGCAGCACTGCTATCATTATTCAGCCTGAGTTGCTTAGTGGCTATGGGATTTGCACACTTTATGGCAAGCTTCTCTGTGAATATCTAAACGCTGAAGTGTCAAGTTTTTACTGGTTTTGTTGCATCTGTATATGGGTATAACCCCCCTCCCCCCTACAGGAACACCAATAGTTGGGTTTTAAAAGGCAGTGGAGCTTCAACAATCATTAGCCCTGTTGTCCCCAAGTGTATATAGCACATAGTCCCCTGGGGAGTTGACTAAAACAACAAATAGTTCTCCTTTGAGGGGAGCTGCTAATTGGCATTATTGCAGCCCTGCTTGTTTCATACTGTAAACAGAACCAAATTCGATAATAGGTTATATTTAGAAATCAGATTAGCTTTGCCTTTAGTAACTACATAAACATTTTCATCTACATTGGATCCAATGTGTTCTATGTGTCTGGTAGCACCTGGAGCAAAGTCTTGATGAGTTAGACCTGACCAGTTTTGGGCTGATGGATACAACTTTAGAAGAAGTGTTCCTCAAAGTGTCTGAAGAGGACCAGTCTCTAGAGAACAGTGATGCAGGTAAGGATTGAGCTATTGTAATAACACATTTTGTTTCATGGTATATGGTCCTTTTTGTTTACTGCTCTGTTTCCACTTGTAGATATGAAAGAATCCAAGAAGGATACATTGAGACCAGTCCTCCAGCCAGACGGCAGCACCGAACCTTCACCATTGGCTAATGTTCTTGAAAAGCCAGAAGTGGAACTCAATAACTTTGCAGCTGGAAATTTCCCTAGCCAGTCACCTGGCTCTTTGCGCTCTGGCTCCTCCTCTTCTGTGGGTTCTGTGCGTGGCGATGAATGTGGGGCCTATTCTGAGTTCTATGGTGACTACTCACCTTTGTTTGATAACTTGCAGGATGCAGAAAGCCTCAGTCTGCATGGTAAGTGGAGAAATCCATCTCTGATTCGTCTCCTTTACAAAAAACAGAGCAAAATTGTGTAAATGAAGGTAGACCCATATGTGTTGCAATCTTTTCTCATATTTTAAATTTAATATATTGGTTGTGTAATATTTTACTGCTACACACAAAGTTTAAAAAGATGTACAATTTTAATGGGTTCTTCAGTCTTTTTGAAAAAAAGCTAAAAATCAGCAGCTACATGTATTCATCCTTCCAGTAGTAGAACCAGGTACCTGAGAAAACTAGGTACCCGCTCCCCCACAAAAAATTTAGCAAATATGGTAGGGGGGGGGGAAAGGATATAAAGCAGAACTTCCCTTTTAAGGTTGTTTTGCTTTGGTGTCTAATAAGGTTACTAAGCAAGGAAGCTAAGACCTTTGTGGTATATTAATGTGCTTTTACTAAACAGAAATTCTGTACATACTTACAATTATAGGAATACAATATAAAACTGACAGATATACCCATAACAAGCAAACTGCTACCTACTTCCTAGCTAAACTATGTTCTGTATACAATAGTAAAAGTTACTTAAAGCGGAGTTCCACTCACACTGTAAAAAAAAAAATAAAAGTCAGTTGCTGACTTTTAAAAAACAACCACTCACCTGTCCCATGATCCCACGGTGTCCTCCCCGCAGCCCGTTTCACCAGCTGTCCTGTATTCGTGCGTAACAATGCCACACCCAGCTGCACCCTGCATAACGATTTTCCAGCTAATGGATGCCGATTGATGTGCCAGCAGCCTGAATCGATTTTTACTGGGTCAGGTTAATTACGCAACTAACCCTTCACACTGCCACCACCTCCTTTTTGATCAGAGAAGGAGGAAACTCGGCGTTCAGCTATAACACTATAATGGTTGATATAATCGTCTGTATACAACGGTCAAATACAAAAAGTTGCAGCGCTTGAGTATATAATACAGGGAATTAACATATATATAGCAGAGTTAAACATTCATATTTTGACATGCACCAGATCCCACATTCTTAAATTAATGTAAACAATGATCAGATAAGTAATGAAGATCTATCCAACTAATCAAAGTGCCTATAGTGATGGGATGTTAAAGTCATAAGTTTTGGGGTATATCCAAGCAAATCCGTGACTTCCGTGATAGGGGAATAACTGTAAAATGCACTAACCAGATAGCGCAAGTAAATGCGCATTGGAGTATAATGACCTACTCCTGGTCACAGCCAAATGGTCCTCAGCGTAAAGCCCTCAGGAACCCCAGTGCACCACTCTTGCCGTCTCCATGACCATCTTGAATGGTAGGTCAAATAGCACATTGGGTGTTGCAGCGATGTCCTGCAGTAAGTTGGCCGTCTCTGTGATCTTGATAGCTCTATATGCTGGTAACGGACTTCAGAACATCCACAGTACTCCTCCACCACCAGACCTTCTATCAGCTCCTCTTCTGTGATTGAGCTGACTGCTCAATCACAGCTGATAAAGCTTACTGCTTTACGCTGAGGACCATTTGGCTGTGACCAGGAGTAGGTCATTATACTCCAATGCGCATTTACTTGCGCTATCTGGTTAGTGCATTTTACAGTTATTCCCCTATCACGGAAGTCATGGATTTGCTTGGATACACCCCAAAACTTATGACTTTAACATCCCTATCACTATAGGCACTTTGATTAGTTGGATAGATCTTCATTACTTATCTGATCATTGTTTACATTAATTTAAGAATGTGGAATCTGGTGCATGTCAAAATATGAATGTTTAACTCTGCTATATATATATATGTTAAGTCCCTGTATTATATACTCAAGCGCTGCAACTTTTTGTATTTGACTTTTGATGAAGGGGGTATACGAGGTTTACCTTTATGCTAGCGGCTTGAATCCTGTCAGATCCAGCGCTCGTTCCTTTCTTCATATATTGTCTGTATACACCGGTCCGCAGGCCGGGTATACAGAGGTTCAAACAAACACAGTAGCGTTCTCTTTAAAGGCAGGGATTTGTAAATTGCAATTAAGAGCTATAGAAACCGTTCAACACTTTCAGAAAGAAAAATTTATTAATAAAAGGTCAAACGGATGCAATAACAATATTTACAGAAAAAGATGTAACTAAAATATATATATATAAACATACAGAGAATAACAGCACAGCAAAGAGATAACAGAGAGAGGTTAAAGGGTTAAGGTACTTGCCATTAAACCTTGGATGTAAGCAGATCAAGTTGCAGAGCGAAAGGCACAGGTCTCCCCAGGTGGTATTGATGTTAAAATGGGAGACGTCTTCAACTCACTACTCTTAGGCTTGACAGCCTGTTTTAAAGTTTCCCAGCAGGGGGTGGCTCTGAAGTAAAGGACCAATCCCCTGTTTAGGGAGGAATCGTCAGGTGGAGCCCTAAACTGGAGCCAACATCTTTCATGACTCATATTCTGGTCCATAACTTTCCATCTGCACAAGCAACAGTCCACCCACGGGTATATTATTATGCAGACAATTCTGAGGATTGACCAGATATGAATTATGAAGTTGTATGCTACATGGTTCACAAGATCTATTTCTCTGCTTCCCCATGCGCCCGAGATAAGGTGAGTGACCCATCAAAACTGTTCGCCTGCTCATCGTCCATCCGATGATATGTCCGGCTTTTATGTATGTCTCTCACATTCCAAGATGTGAGACATAGGGGGAAAATGGATCTTTTAAAAATGTTATCTGGTGTGGGCTTCTTGGGAATGCCTTGAACTCCTGGCAAGGCTTTGTTATCTTTTTACGAGGTGTGAAATTACATAGGTTCTTTGGACAATGCAGCACCACGTGGCTCCCTGCTGGGATCTGGCCTGTGACACTTTTAACACACACACATCTGTCACTGTGCCTCTCAGGAAGGGAGGGGGAAGGAGAATGAGGGAATAACATGGCTACTCTTAACAAAATGGAGTCTGCGTACTTCACTGTGTGTTGCGCATGTTTGCGACAACCGGCATCTTCAGTGTGAGCACCCGGCTGTCACAGCTTGCGGCTTCACAGCCGGGTGACCACTGCACATGCGCGAGTAGCACTGCGCTTCCTGAATGGCTCCATCGTCTTCTGGGATCTGTCACGTGTCCCACAAGACTATGGGGAGGGAGGGTAGGAGGACAACTTCCGCTTCCGATCACCTAGGCAATCGCAGCAGAAGTGGGAGCAGGTACCTGTCAAATTAGGGTACCCGCTCCCCAAAGGTGCCAATCCTTAATGGGGAGCGGGGGACCAATCTTTAAAGCAAAACTTCCCCTTTTGGGTGGAACCCCACTTTAACTCCGATTATAGAGGCTTCACAATTTCCGTAGGCAATGTGGACCTCAGGCTTGCTCTAAAACAGTTGCAGGAGATTGGGCTAAAAGCATCTTCAGGTTCTGACGGAGATCTTCCTTGGTGTCAGAGTCCTCCTTTTCAGTCTCTGTTGCCTTTTAATTTGGAAAGTTTTACCATCTCACATGGCTGTGGCTCCTTTTGCAAATTACAATCTTCCTGCTGCCATTGTACTGCTAAAAACAGAAACCAAAAACCCCCAGTGATTAATCCCATAAGAGAGCAGCTTTACCTCACAAGATCTCCAAGATTAATGGGAAGTTTAAAAGAACTTTTGTATAATCCACTCCAAACTGTTGTCCTCTTATGATTTCATAGTTATATAGTTAGTCTGGCTTAAAAAAAACAAAAGTCCATCCATTTCAACCATTAAAAAAAAAAAGTTATAATCCTATACCCACAGTTGATCCAGAGGAAGGCAAAAAAAAACCCCAGCAAAGCATGACCCAATTTGCTCCTGCAGGAAAAACAATTCCTTCCTGATCCCCCGAGAGGCAATCGGATATTTCCTGGATCATCTTTACCTATAAATGTTAGTATCCAGTTATATTCTGTGTATCTAAGAAACAATCCAGGCCTTTTTTAAAGCAATTCACTGAGCTGGCCAGAACCAACTCTTGAGGGTGTCTATTCCATAGTTTCCTCAGAAGAAACGCGTACGTGTAATCTATGTCAGCGATTTGAGCTATGAGAATGCCTGGTTTGTGGTGCCAGAAAGAGTTCTGACATGCTGACACAATTTCTGTCTATGTGAAATTTTAATAAAGCGTTTTTAAGTGGTACTTCAGTATTGTTAGCCAAGCATATGGGATTTCCATCCTGAGGTATTCATCTGTCTGTGATCCAGATTGATATATGAGGATGGCAGTCCAGAGTGGATTATACAAAAGTACATTTAGACCTTCCCTTATTCTTGGAGGTCGAAGGTGAGCTGCTCTCCTATTAGATTAGTCATTGGGTAATTTTTGATGTTTTACTTTATCAGCAGAACAGGGGCAGGAAGATTTTCATTTGCATCTTGGATGTTTAATCATGGACTTTGCATGTCCCTTGTGCAATACGAAACCTGCCTGAAAGCAGCTCTTAAGTTCAGCTTTAAGAAGTGGTCAGGGTCAAGTCTCATTCTGTTGCAGTTTAATTTTAGAGCAGCATAGGAAAGAATTCATGATTTAAGCTGTAACCTTGTAATAATTCTGTTGCATAATCTGTCTTAATGCTCCTGTTTAGCATTGCCTTGTTGTGCGACAGAATTGAATGATGTTCGATAAAGTGTCCCTGGAGGGAAGTAGCTTAGCACTAAAATCTCAGGCAAAATAAATGTGTAAGCCGTTTTATATCCATCTTATTGTAGTCAAAGTACAGTAATGATTTTTTATTAAATAAGATCGTCATGTTCTTTAGAAATCTGTGGTGTTTGGCTTTCAGATCCTGAGGAAGTGGAGCAAATTTCAAATGGACAAGGAAGCTACAAGCTGGAAGGTTCCTGGCTAAAATTACGCCAGTTTCATGGGCTGATTGTGAAACGTTTCCACTGCGCCAAGAGGAACACCAAAGCTTTATTCTCTCAAATCCTTCTCCCAGCATTCTTTGTGTGTGTTGCAATGACTGTGGCTCTTTCTGTTCCTGAGATTGGTGCGTAGACCTGGATGTTCGTCAGTTTAGCTTTCTACAGTTGTCCTACGCTCCTTATTGTGTTTTTATGGATTGGTGTATCGACTGAATATTGCTTAAATGCTGCTCATTTTATTTCATAGGTGACCTGCCCCCTCTGGTCCTCTCCCCATCTCAGTATCACAACTATACTCAGCCCAAGGGAAATTTTGTACCATATGCCAATGAGGAGCAGCCAGAATACAGGTGATGTTCTCAGGCTGGAACCTAGGCCAAAACCTGTCCTTGTACAGGTCACATGCTTATTGATGTTTTTGATGGTTTTGTTTATGTCCACCAATTGTAGACTTATATACTAGCAAGATGGACCTTAATGTAAACCTGTGTGGCCAGTGGAACTGCTACTGTTGATTTGGTTTTGAAAGGTGCAAGCTCTGGGGCTGCACTAATGATCTTGGACTCTCCAGTCACTGTGTTGCTGATATGGAACAGGCATGCAGGCAATGAGGTCTAAAAAGGGTGTGCACCTTTAAAAGCAATTCAGCAATATCAGAGTCCACATTTCTATCATTTTAATAGATGAGGATGTAGATCTACCCTAAATTACACTGTTTTTGTACCTGTACACCAGTTGCAGTGCATGCATGTTTATCCATTTTAGCATTTATGGGAACAAATACGTGATCCGATATGTTTGTCAGAGCAGCATGATAGTGAAATTACAGTTCTTGCCTATGAATCCTTATCACTTTAAAGTGAACTTTGCTCATGCAGAGCAAACAAAATGTGTTCACTCAACCCTGCCATTCTCTTGTAAAAACTAAGGAAGACAGCTTTAGTTGATTTCTCTTTTTTAGCTTACATAGATCTGACTGTCCACTTCTATTTGATAGTATTGGGTCAGTCACTAAGCATTACAGCCATCACAAACCGAAAATAAATGAGTCACATGCTCCTCCATACCCAGACGCACCGGGTATTTATTTTGCTCCTGGAGGCTTAGGTGGAGTAGTAAAGAAAAGGTATGTGTTGCAGGAAGAGCAAGCTTAAAAGAGACCTTGTTACTTAACCATGCATGGATAAAGCCCATGTTTCCTTTAGTGCTACCTGGCTTAGTTGGTTATAGCAGCATGACACCACAGTAGGATATCTGGGTTCAGGGTCCAACGGTGTAGACCCTCAAAGTGTCAATTTTGACCGTGCTAGCACTTTTGACTTGCTATTACTGATAACTTTTTAGCCTAAGCTGCTTCTAGCTGCAAGTTGTTGTCCTAAAAAAAAACATAGGTTGAGCAAAACTGGTTTTGTGCTTTGCCTCAGTCATACAGTACATCTTCTATCATGTATTGTCCTCCAGCTGATGGCCACCATGTTAATGGCATGTGCTTAGTGGTTTCAGCAGTTTCTCATTTGAAAAAAAAATCCTGTTTTTCTGGCAGAACAGAGTTCTTTTATGTTGGTAGCCCACAGCTTCCATCCTAATTGTCTACTATTGTCCACTGCCATTCCAGACTGAAGCTGTCCCCAGATGCCAGTCCACAGATGCTAGTAAACACCTTCTACCTGCCCTCCGGTATTGGCGCCACCTGTGTGCTGAAGACCGCCTTTAACAGCACCCTAGACCAGCTTGTGCAATCACTCAATATGAACAGCAATGAGTCCAAAATGTTGGCTGCACAGTACTTTGATGCTATGTGTGTGGACTCCTTTACGCAAGGACTGCCACTTTCTAATTTTGTGCCACCACCTCCCTCACCTGCCCCATCTGATTACCCAATGGATGAGGACCCAGCCCACCTGTGGAATGCCACCACCTACTCACCACCCTCTGTGCCAGGTAAGCGGTCTAGCACAAGTGTTACAGCTCACTGATTCACAGTTATATACAGTGGGGAAAATAATTATTTGATCCCCTGCAGATTTTGTAAGTTTGCTCACTTACAAAAAAATGAAGGGTCTATAATTTTTTTCATAGGTGTATTTTAAATGATAGAGACAGAATAATCAACCAAAAATCCAGAAAAAATCACAATACAAATGTTATAAATTGAGTTGCAATTCAGTGAGTAAAATAAGTATTTGATCCCCTACCAACTATGAACAATTCTGGCTCTCACAGATTGGCTTATGTGGTACACAGATTAGTCCTGGCGATTTAAGAAGGTGCTCCTAACAACAACTCGTTATGTGTATAAAAGACACCTGTCCACAGAATCTCTTTCTTGATTTAAACCTCACCATCATGGGCAAATAGCTGTCAAATGATGTCAGGGACAAGACTGTAGACCCGCACAAGGCTGGAATGGGCTACAAGGCCATCAGCAAGAAGCTGGGTGAGAAGGAGACAACTGTTGGAGCGATAATGCAACAGTAACTATGCTCCAATTATGCTCCATGCAAGATTTCATCTCATGGGGTAAGAATAATCATGAGAAAAGTGAGGGATCAGCCCAGAACTACACACGAGTAGTGATGGGCATGTGTTTGGTTCGTAGTCGAACATTTGAACCTAATGAATGTTCGACCACGCGAACTTCGAACTCCATGCAAGTCTATGGGCAGGGCCGGTGCTAGACTATTTTGCATCCTAGGCAAGACCAGCTACTTGCACCTTCCCTCCCCAGCTGCTATACTTGCTCCAGACACCCGGCATCTTCCTCTGTCCTTTCCTCCTCCCTCTCTGCCACCCCCTCTCCTCAGCTGAAGGGTCAGTCATAACATGGTGGCATCTCACACGATCAATCAGCATCCGCTCCCCTCGCCCCGACCATTTTGCGCCACCCTCCTCCTCCTGTCACCTCCTTCAGTCACATCCATGATCCACCATTCGCCTAGGCTCGACTCACCTCTGATGGTTCTTGCCAGGGTGTGGAGTCTAGGCTGCAGCTCTCAGTGAGGACAAGCAACCTCCCAGCAGTACGCCTCTTCCCTCCCATACACATTGGGCCCTGATTATCCTACTCACAAAGGGTTAACCCTGCAACCAGAGCACACTCCTACCCATTGATTGGCTCCACCTGTGTAGAAGAAGGCGGAGCCAGCGCCGGAATGCCCTATTCGGTCACTAACCGGCTCCCTGTTACAGCTGGAGGATGTACTGGAGATGTACGGACCGATCCTCCGATCAGGGACTGCTGACTGCCCAGGGTCCTGTGCTAATGTCATCTCTCCCCATCCTAGGGTGAGCCAACACTTCACTGCTACATGGAATACTGGTGTGTGTGTGTGCGTGTATGTGTATATATATATATATATATATATATAGATAGATAGATAGATACACACACTAAATTGCCGTGTGTGGACAGGCTGTAAGAAAATTGTGCAGAGTAAAAATACCATCATTCCCTCATCACTCCCTGTGTATGAGAAGAGGGGGACTCTGCAGAGAAATTAAGAATTCATACAAGAGGTCCATCCAGTAAAACAAATTAAAAAAAAAAAAAAGTGCGTGGGGCCCTTTAGGCTTGGTAGGATGTTTAAGGACTTTTCCTCCCAAAAATGGGGGAAGTACGTAGGGTTCTCCCTAAAAATCCCTTTAGGCCTGGTAGAACTTTAAGGAAAACCCCACACCCCCCAAAATGGGGGGGGAGCATGGGTGGTCCCCCCTAAATTCCTACCAGACTCTTGATCCGAGCACAGGCCTGGAAAGCAAAGAAGGGGGGGGGGGCAATCGTACACGTCCTTCCCCTCTGGGGCTTACCAGGCCACGTGCCTTTGGCATTGGGGCAGTGTCCTCATGCCGATGGGGACAAGGGCCTCTTCCCCAGAACCCTGGATCAGGGGTTGTGGGGATCTGCAGAGAGGGGGGGCTCATTAGCATCAGGGTACCCCTTTAAGTAAGGGGTGAATGAGTAAGGGGTACTTGTACCTCTACAAGTACCCCCTTGTGAATGAGTAAGGGGTACTTTTACCTCTACTTATTCACTAAAAGGTTAAATTCAGTAAAAAATAAGAGACCAGTCTTTTGGAAAACTCCTTTAATTGAACAAAAAAACAAAACTGTTTTTAACAAGTCCTTTTAATGGAAAAAAAAAAAAGCCAAACAAATGGTTCCATTGTTGTAATCTATCATCGATCATGGCATCCAGTGTTGTCATGGCGACGCTGACTTGCCGAAATTTTTAAAAAACCCTGATGCCCACTGACCCGTCCGCACCCAACGAGCACTTCCTGTGTCTTTGGCTAATTATGGCTCTCACAGTGCATTCTACTGTGATTGGCTAAAGCGTTGCACCTGACCTGTGGTCAGGTGCATTGCTTTGGCCAGTCATGGCTCTAACAATGCACTGTGAGTTCGCAGTGCATTTTGGGGCACTCAGCGGGTGAACAGCTTGCCTGAACACCCTTATTGTTTGTGTGTTAGGTGAACATATGAACGGCCAATGTTAGAGTCAAATTTACGTTCGACTCGAACATCAAACCCAACACTACATGGGAGCAGTTTGTTAATGATCTCAACGCATTTGGGACCACAGTTACCAAACAAACTATTGGTCACACAATACACCTCAATGGATTGAACTCCTGCAGCGCCTGCAAGGTCACCAATGAATGTCTAAATGATTCAGAGAAGGATTGGGAGAAAGTGCTGTGGTCAGATGAGACCAAAATTTAACTCTTTGGCATTACTCGACTCGCTGTGTTTGAAGGAAGAAAAATGCTAACTATGACCCTAAGAACACCATTCCTACGGTCAAGCACGGAGATGGAAACATTATGCTTTGGGGCTGTTTCTCAGCTAAAGGTACAGGCCAACTTTGCCACATTGTAAAATCTTGGATGAGAACCTTCTTTCCTCAGCCAGAACACTGAAGATGGGTCGTGGATGGGTCTTCCAGCATGACAATGACCCAAAAAATACCGCCAAGGCAACAAAGGAGTGGCTCATAAAGAAGCACATTAAGGTCATGGAGTGACCTAGCCAGTCTCCAGACCTTAATCCTATAGAAAATTTATAAAGGAGGCTGAAACTTCGAGTTACCAAGCGTCAGCCAGGAAACCTTACAGATTTAGAGAAGAGCTGTAAAGAAGAATGGACCAAAATCCCTCCTGAGATGTGTGCAAACCTGGTAACCAACTACAAGAAACGTCTTACCTCCGTACTTGCCAACAAGGTTTTCTCCACCAAGTACTAAGTCATGTTTTGTTTGGGGATCAATGTATTTTACTCACTGAACTGCAACTCAATTTATAACATTTGTATCATGTGTTTTTTTTTCTGGGTTTTTGGTTGATATTCTGTCTCTATTATTTAAAATACACCTATGATAAAAATTATAGACCCTTCCTTTCTTTGTAAGAGGGCAAACTTACAAAATCTGCAGGGGATCAAATAGTTATTTTCCCTATTGTACTGTCATTAACACTAATGATTCAGTTGTACTAGTCATAAGCACAGTAATTATTATTATTATACAGGATTTATATAGCGCCAACAGTTTGCTCAGTTCAATACAAGAGAGTTAGGAGGGCCCTGCTCCTTGGAGCTTACAATCTAAGAGATCCACTTTTAGAATGAGTTCTCTCTGTCTCGACTTTAACAGTGAAATCTCACTGCCATTTTTATCCACCTGACAGCTTTGGGTGTTCCTTCTTTTACCTTCTGTATAGTATAAAATATATAAAAACCCATCATGATGACCACAACAGGGGTGTAAAGCCAGGAACTCAGCAGAACGATCTGTCCAGTAGAATCCCCAAGACTTTAAGGGAGAGGGGATGATGGAATTTCTTTGACAAGAATAGTTCTTTTTTGTTTTGTTTTTTTTATAAAGTAGGCAGTATGGTAAATAGAGTCTGATTTAAGAAAAAAAAACTTTTTTTTTTCTCTTACAAGTGGAAGCCATCACCACCACCCCTTCTCTTCCTCGTCGCATCCATGAACCAGTCCGCTGCACATGTTCCATGCAAGGGACAGGCTTCTCCTGCCCCAGTGGGGTGGGAGGTCACCCTCCTCAAATGAAGGTGGTGACCGGAGACATCATGGTGGATATCACTGGACGGAATGTGAGTGAATATCTGCTATACACATCCGACCGCTTCAGGCTACACAGGTGAGTCACATGGCGAGTCAACAGGTTGGGATGTCACTTTAAGACAACACTTCAGTGTAAGTGAGGATCCAGCACTTTTTCCAGTCGCTTAGTAAAAAGAACCATGTTTTAAACCTAGGTATGGGGCACTAACATTTGGAAATGTGCAAAAAGCCATCCCAGCATCCTTTGAGGCGAAGGCTCCACCCATGTTGCGGAAGATTGCAATAAAACATACAGCACAGGTCAGTGTAGCCAACTAGCTTCGACTTTTTCCTCTCATGATCAGAGGTCATTACGCCTCAATGCCCACAACAAATTTAGCAATACATGTTAGCGTTTTTTTTAATTATGATTATTAAAAGATGATGGACATGAAAATGTTTAATTAAGGCATATTTTTTTTTACAATTAGTTAAAGAAATAAACAATTTTTTAATTTTTTACCTAGCTGTATTGCGCTGTGACAGCTGTTTGTAATGGTTTGATTTTATGTTAATCACATGATTTGAAACCATGCTGATATTTTTCCTATCCTTCGCACCTGTCAGCTGCACACTCTTGAGTCTACAATAGAACATAGATAAACTATCTACAGATTGCTATTGGTGATTGCTTTAACCTCTTCCTGTCCGGCCCCTGTTGATAAACGGCCGGACGGGAGCTCTGCCGATGCGGGTGGACGTTTCTAAACGTTCCCCCGCATCCATTGCCTGTGCGCGCTCCCTGGGAGCGCGCAGAACCACGACCACTGGACACAGCGGAACGCAGATCACTGTACGGGACCTCTGTGTGAGGTCCGAATTCATGTGATCACTGATTGGCCAATCTGTGATCGCATGAACAGTAGTAAATAAGATGTCACTTCCTGACATCATTGCTTACTACTTGTGAAATGTGTGAATGATCACAGAGGTCACATGGTACAAGGCTATTCACAACAGCCTTGTACCATGTGACAAGCCGTGACCAATCACAACTCGCACAGTATTTCTCAATGGCTGCAGGAATGTAGCCAGAGAGAAGGAGAAATTATTGCTTTTACAGCCTTTATGGGTATAAAAAGTAATCCGTGTAAAAAAAAAAAAAGAAAAAAAAAATCTTCATCACCTCCCACAAGTAGTACAGTGTCTCTAGGGTGACAATATGTAAAAAAAAAAAAAAAAACAAAACATAATTAATATAAACATTTTTTTTTTAAATTATAAATTTTGGTTATAAACTAATTTGGGTCTTTTTTTTTACTAAAAAGATAGATAATTACATTTTGGCCAAGATTTCTGAAGAAAGATTATTTATTTGCAAAATTGTATAAGAAAAACATTTTTTTTTTAAATTTGGTCTTTTTCATTTATATAGCAAAAAAATAAAAATCCCAGTGGTGAATAAATACCACCAAAAGAAAGCTCTATCTGTCTCAAAAAATGATATAAATTTCATATGGGTACAGTGTTGCATGACTGCTCAATTGTCATTCAAAATGTGATAGCACTGGAAGGGGGTGAAAGTGTCTGGACTTTAAACAGAACTTCAGTCAAAATGTCTACCTTTTTATTTTGAATAGTGTGGGAACATTGGGAATTTCTGTCAGGAGTTGTTTTTGGCCTGTGTCCCCATTGGGGACGATTTACTGCACTTCATGTCCCTACCAAAAGTACTTGTATGGTTCTAGACCATGCCATTTCCCACCATCAGTATAAATAGTCATGTGATATAAGTTTGCCTACACATTGTAACAATATTCAAAGCCATAAATATCAGTTTTTGGTGGACTCCCCTTTTGATCTCATGGTAGAGCTACAGGCCCTGAGGGTGGTTACAGCTTATGTGGTTTGTGTATCAGTTCCTTCCACTTTGTCTGGTCTATCAGTTCTGATCATTTTATTCTTTTTCAGGCATTTTATAACAACAAAGGGTATCACAGTATGCCCACATACCTGAACGCACTGAATAATGCCATCTTGAGAGCAAATTTACCTGCTTCCCGTGGAAATCCAGCTGCCTATGGTGAGAAGCCATGTTGTAATGCTTCCGAGATTAAAGTGGTAGTTTACCCTTACATATACACAGCGACAATCCTCAACTGATGCACAAAGATTAAACAAATCCTCCGACATCATTTGTACCTGTCTGTCTGCAGCCCTCTCTTCTCTACATCCATTCAAAGTCCAATATGTATACAGCTTGTCTGAGAGTTCAGAAAAAAAGGGTGAGACAACTGAGACTGTGCACTGCAAAGCTCAGTGAGGAGAGTTCTAAGAGCTGATTGGAGGGAAGAGACACACACCCAGCTCATAGGAACAGCGCTGAGGCTGTCAATCTGCTGGAGGTTCCTCCCCGTCACCATTTTTCTGTTGGTGTCTTGAAAACATGTCAGAAGTGACTCATGCTGATAGAGGAATGAAGCAGCAGACAGAATTGACACTTAGTGCCCTTATTTGAGGCAATTACATGCTACAGAGGGATATGCTTTGTTCAGATTTCATGTCTGAGGTTTACAACCACTTCTGGTAAGAGAGGTAGAATGAAGCCTCAGTAACTGTAGGGGAATTGAAGCATTTTAGCATATCCCCACAAATGTATTAAAGGCGGACAGGGTTGTTATTTTAGGGCAGGCCCACTTTAATTATTGTCTTCTCGTCATTCAGGCATAACAGTCACAAACCACCCAATGAACAAGACCAGTGCCAGCCTGTCTCTGGACTACCTGTAAGTACTGCTATACCTTATGTATTGCACAGTCTTGTTTCCATCCTTCAATCTCTTGACCTCAATGCTATCTTTTTTCAGGCTGCAAGGTACTGATGTGGTGATTGCCATATTCATAATTGTTGCAATGTCCTTTGTTCCGGCAAGTTTTGTGGTGTTCCTTGTAGCTGAGAAATCCACCAAGGCCAAGCACCTCCAGTTTGTCAGTGGCTGCAATCCCGTTATTTACTGGTTGGCCAACTACGTCTGGGACATGGTGAGTTGACTTCTTTTAGGTGTGATAGACATTTATCACTCCAGTTGGTGGGATATGATGTTGGGAGGACTCCATTATATTGTTTCTAGCTGTGATCTTTCTTTTTTTTTTCAGCTGAATTACCTGGTTCCAGCGACTTGCTGCATCATTATTCTCTTTGTGTTTGACCTGCCTGCATACACATCTCCAACTAACTTCCCAGCTGTCCTCTCTCTTTTCCTTCTGTATGGGTAAGTCAGAGCTGAATCCTCATATCACAGATGTTTTATTGCAGAGGTTTGCTTAAGTCAGGTATTTGATTATGAGACATAAGGCCCCTTTCACACGGGGCAGAATCTGCTTTGCTCCGCATGGGATCTGTCCACTGATCTGAGCAGAGTGGAGCAGATGACAGGTCCGTGTCTGCTCAGTTTATGCAGAGTGGACACGAACAGAGCCAGCTCTGCTCTGTGGGCAGCCAGGAGTAAACAAACTGGCAGTCTGTTTACACCCGCCTGTCCACTGATCCGATCCACCTAGACCAGTGGTGGGCAACCTTTTTTTTCAACTGAGCCAAATCTCGCCAAAACCATGATTGAAATTTATTTTGAGAGCCACATTTTTAAAACTGAAAATACATCTCCCATATAGTAATTCATCCCCCATAGTAATTCATCCCCCATAGAGTAATTCATCCCCCATAGAGTAATTCATCCCCCATAGTAATTCATCCCCCATATAGTAATTCATCCCCCATCGTAATTCATCCCCCATCGTAATTCATCCCCCATAGTAATTCATCCCCCATATAGTAATTCATCCTCCATATAGTAATTCATCCCCCATAGTAATTCATCCCCCATATAGTAATTCATCCCCCATAGTAATTCATCCCCCATATAGTAATTCATCCCCCATAGTAATTCATCCCCCATATAGTAATTCATCCCCCATAGCAATTCATCCCCCGTATAGTATTTCATCCCCCGTATAGTATTTCATCCCTCATATAGTATTTCATCCCTCATATAGTAATTCATCCCTCATATAGTATTTCATCCCTCATAGTATTTCATCCCCCCATATAGTATTTCATCCCTCATATAGTATTTCATCCCTCATATAGTAATTCATCCCCCATATAGTATTTCATCCCCTCATATAGTATTTCATCCCTCATATAGTATTTCATCCCCCCATATAGTATTTCATCCCTCATATAGTAATTCATCCCCCATATAGTAATTCATCCCTCATATAGTATTTCATCCCCCCATATAGTATTTCATCCCCCATAAAGTAATTCATCCCTCATAAAGTAATTCATCCCTCATATAGTATTTCATCCCCCCATATAGTATTTCATCCCTCATATAGTAATTCATCCCTCATATAGTATTTCATCCCCTCATATAGTATTTCATCCCCCCATATAGTAATTCATCCCTCATAAAGTAATTCATCCCTCATATAGTATTTCATCCCCCCATATAGTAATTCATCCCTCATAAAGTAATTCATCCCTCATATAGTATTTCATCCCCCACAGTACTATCCCCCCCCCCCCCACCCCTTCTAGTAAGCCAAGTCCCCCGTGTCAATTCACTTACCTTTTGCGTTCCTCTCACTGTCTTCCCGCGCCGTTCGGGTCTTCAGGGCGGACTGTGAGAGGAGCCTAGCTCCCCTCCCCTCACGTTCGGCACGCTGCCCCGCCTACACACATCCTGACAGCCACATCCGCGGGCCGGATTAAAAGGTCCGCGCGGACTTTTGGGGCTGCCAACCGAGAGGAGGCAGGGGAGCGGCCGACCGAGAGGAGGGAGGGGAGCAGGCGCCCGGCACACAGAAGAGCCGCATTAGAGTGGGTAAAGAGCCGCATGTGGCTCGCGAGCCGCGGCTTGCCGACCACTGACCTAGACCTAGGGGGACAGATCCCCTTACGTTTTTTATTAGCGGACTGGATCAAAGTGGAGGTAGGCAAGTGTAAATGGATACAAGTACGTTTACACCCACCAATCCATAGGGATATATGGACGATGGGGTCCGGCTGAAAAACTGACAGACGGACCTGATCTGATTATGAAAGATGCCTTAGGCAATGGAATTTCTAAAGAGACTGTATGAACAAAGCATAGTGTTCAATAAAATACAGCAAAATGGTATCTCTTTGCCTAAAGCCCTTGGGGTACTATCTGTTGTCCTGCCATTTATTTGTATTTAAACGGACTTCATTTTAGTGGAATTGTACTTCTTCCAATTCCTCTTTGGAACTTCATTTTTTTTTTTATCGCATTAGCAACAGAAGATGAACATGTAGGGTTTCAAAAGATCATTGTCACCCACTGATGGTGATTTTGGTGATAAAAGGAAACATTCACATTTGTGTGTGCCTTCTGTAGCTTGTTAAGATAAAGGTAGACAACCACTTGAATGATGACCCCCCTTTGTACAAGCTCTGCCCATTGTGCCATAATTATTGTGACAAAAGCAGTGCTAGAATTGCATTATGGGGTCTGTTTTATATCCAGAGCTACCTTTTAACTGTACAGACCACCCAACATGAGAAAGGAAAGTTGATTTAAAGGGGTCGTAAACTAATTTTTTTCACTTGTACCTGCAGGTAAGGTTATAATTAGGCTTACCTGTAGCTACAGTAATAATCTAAACATGCGGCATTTAGGAGATATTCGCAACTGCTGCATCCGGTGACTTCACCGGTGAATGCGCAGTATGCTCTGCATTGAGGGCGCACTGAGTGTGCCCTAAATGCAGAACAATGTGCTGCGATTGTGACTCCCATGCGCCTAATATCATTGTGGCCTGGCCATTTAAACGACCATGAACCCAGAAGGAAAACCAGGTGAAGATGGAACTACCAGGAGTGGTGACAACATGCTGTTGGAGGGCTCTATTTAAAAGGTATGTCTGCCATAATGTGCTACTATGCAGTACATGGTAGCACATTATACCATTAACTTGAAGGAAGCGCGGTTATTTATTTATTTTTTTACTTTTAAGTTTATTATTGCTTTAATGGTTCTTGAATTGTTAGTGGCTCTTTGGATTCCTGTCAACATCCTTTGTGCCTATGTTTCCTATAGTATTTCTTGCAAATTTAGCCACAAATGCCTGTGGGTGACCAGAAGAGGAATCCAAGGTAAAGAAACTTATCACAGATAGTACATTTCGAGGCTTTGTGCTGGGACCTCTAACCCTGCTGCTCTAGACACTGATCCATAAGTGGCATATTAATATATTATTATGGAGGCTTGTTCGATGTTTACCCATCTTCTGGAAAGTTTTTCCTTTTATTAAAATTCTATGCTACCATTTATGTCCTAAATACAGTAAGAAATATGTTTTTCTTATGTTGTTTCCTATAGTTGGTCAATCACCCCTATCATGTACCCGGCCTCCTTCTGGTTTGAGGTGCCCAGCACAGCCTACGTTTTCCTCATAGTCATCAATCTTTTCATTGGTATCACCGCTACAGTGGCCACCTTCCTGCTTCAGCTATTCGAACATGACAAGGTAAGTGACCCACAGTGAGCCTGAGATGATAGGTGTTTGTGTTACATAGTTAGTCTGGCTGAAAAAAAAAAAGACAAAAGTCCATCCAGTTCAACCATTAAAATAAAAAAAGTTATCATCCTATACCCACAGTTGATCCAGAGGAAGGAAAAAAACCCAGCAAAGCATGATCCAATTTGCTCCTGCTGGGGGAAAAAATTCCTTCCTGATCCCCCGAGAGGCAATCGGATATTCCCTGGATCAACTTTACTTATAAATGATAAGTGTTAGTGCTGCCTATCCACCTTACAATCAGATGGTACAATCTTTTTTTAATAAGTCATACCACATTTATATTGGATGAGTGCTTAATCCCCCCTAAAACACACATGCACTCTGTGAGATCATTATATATTGCAAATGCACATAAGTTTTTTAAAGGCTAAGTTCACCTTTGCACAAAAAATAATAAATGTAAATTTATTTTGCAGGTAAAAAAATGTGCATGTATTATTTTTTGTGTTAGGAGCCTGTAAAGCATTGCACCAGTGGTCAGCAGATCGCTGGTGCCATGCTGGTCTCCTGCAGATTATCAGTGTATCTGCTTGCTTATACATCCCATAGGGCAAGCCGATACTTGCTGACAGGAAGACCCAAACTACCACGGCGCTCACAGCACCGTGACGGTTCATTGAGGACTACAAGTGGACTTGTAGTCCATTCATTCACAGAACACTGTGAATGAATGATGCAGCTGCATGGTCAGAGCCCTGTATGACCGCGCTGTTATTAAAACTTGACAGCTAGTACGGGGAACTTATCCCTGTACTTCTGTCACAGGGACCTGTAAAATGTTTGCACTTGACTTTCCAGTTCTGCCAGCTTACGTCAGTAACTGCTGGCACCCACTGGTGTTTTTTCCCACTGCATTGAAAATAGGGCAGTATGCTAATGTAGTGACCAAAATCTACAAGGAAGGAGTGGGTGACTCAGTTCATCAATATATTCAATACCAGTTTCGAAAGTGCTTTTTCTGTAAGTTTATGAGAGTGCCTATCTGCAGCCCTCTCTTCTCCACATCCATTCAAAGTCCAAAATCTATACAGCTTGTCTGAGAGTTCAGAAAATGGGTCGACCAACTGAGATTACACACTGCAAAGCTCAGTGAGGAGAGTTCCAAGAGCTGATTGGAGGGAAGAGACACACACCCCTCCAGTGTAACAATATAAGGTGATGGTGTTTTGCAGGTTCAAATGTTTTACAGCTGTTTTTCTCTGTCTATTGCAAAGCATTATTACATGTGAACGTAAAAAAATGAATGGTAGAACAGGAATTCAGAGATCAGATGGTATGTGGTGTCATAACTGGAACTGTCCTCATCTCTTCTTTGATGGTACCTGTTTGCTACAATTGGTTTCACATATTTAAACCACACCTTCGTGTCTTTGAAAGGACATGGAATTATTGGTGTACTTCCCATCATTCAATATGTTATATTGATGTTGTCTGAACAGCCTTTAGTGAAAGGGCAAACCTGTGGATTCAGGAGAATATACAGTGGCTTTGCATATATTTGTTTTCAAATTTTTCAGATGGGTAAATATGAAAATGTTATGCTCAAGCTGTACATGAGACTGATTTCATTTTACATTGCACTAGTACTTATTTGTTTCTTTAACATTGAAATGCTGGAGCCCAGGGCCGGGACAAGGGTTGGGCAGGAGGGGCGGCTGCCCTGGGCACTGTTGTATCATATGAGGTGGAGGGGCACTGCAAGGAGATTGGGGGGAGGGATTTGTTTTGGGAGGAAGAATTTGGGGGATGGCAGGGGCAAAGGTTGTTCAAGGAGGGGAAATTTGGGAGGGGATGCAAGAGTGGTGATTTGGGGGAATTTGTGTTTGGAGGGGGGATAGGGGCAGAGGATTTGTGTATGGTGATTTATGCTAGGAGGGAGAATAAGGGGGAAATTGGTGGGGGGGGGGGGGGGGGGGGGGTTGGAGCAGAGGGTGAGGATTTGTGCTCAGAGTGGTAATTTGAGGGGTAGAAGATTTGTACTGAGAGAGGTGGCACAGATTTCTGTTGGGAGGGGGGATTTCAGCAGGGGGGAGGAAAGAGGTGGGATTTATGCTTAGGGGGTAAGCATGCAGATTTTTTTTTTTAAGGGGGTTGGGATTTTTGCTGACACATAATGCTTATATAACTTGGGGGGCACAGTTTGGCATGTTTGACCTGGGCGCTACATGACCTTGTTCTGGCACCGCTGGAGCCACCTCAGAGCCTTGACAGTTGGATGACAGGTAGGGCTTAGCATCAAGAAGGGTGGAGCTTTGTGTTGACTTTGGAAGGTCCTCCATATAGCCTGCACCCAAGATCCAAGGGTTTCACAGTGATTTGATGACTAGCAGTTATTTGTAGTCACCACACTTTATCTGTATACATATAATTTGGATAATAGTGTTAAACCTCAACCAACATCCATTACTTGGGACAGTAGCAGTAAAACGGTTTGTTTTTTTTATTAGGTGGGTAACCCCTTTAAACGCAGTTTATTTTGCATTTCTCTAAATGTTTCCACATTCAGGTTACCAAGTTTGCCTATTTTCCTGCTGTCATTTAAAAAACATTAGTGTACCAGAGAAATAATCTATCATACTTTTTTCCTTTCCATTGGTCAGGACTTAAAAACTTGTGAACAGCTATCTCAAGAGCTGTTTCCTTATCTTTCCCAATTACAACCTTGGACATGGGTTGATGGAAATGGCCTACAATGAATATATCAATGAGTACTATGCAAAAATAGGTAAGGAGGAGGCTGGAGAAAGCTTTGTACACTGTCTAGAATGATTTGGAGAGAAAGGCACAAATTCCGTCCAATGTAAACTAGGTGTCCTTCTCTCCAACTGCCTAATGAACTTACAGATGTAATTTTTTTGTATATTACTATCAGGTCAGTTTGGTAAGATGAAATCTCCATTCGAATGGGACATAGTCACCCGAGGCCTCGTGGCCATGACCATAGAAGGATTTGTAGGTTTCTTCATCACCATCATGTGCCAGTACAACTTTTTCCGCAAACCACAGTGAGTATCCGAAAACTGGCACCCATATCACTGGATATCAAGCTGTCACTGATTATGACTTGATTATCCTCTACGGTAGAAAGATCTTTCTTCCTTCAGCCAGCTACCAATCTCAACCACCGTAAAAGGCAACATTTCTGTTTTTTATGCAGTGAGCCTATCTCAGCCTGTCCTTTAAAAGTAAAAACAGCACTCTAGTCAAGGCAAAAGTCATCAGCAAATTTTATATACTTTTGTCCACTTTGTTTATTTACCAAGAACTTGAACATGTCTAAATAGGAAGTAGGATAGTGCTAAAGTGCAGGTACCTTGTGAAGAATACAAGTACCTGTATCTGTCTTCAAATTCATTTTCGCAGCCCCCTTTTACCCTAATCCAGAACTATAAATGAGCCTTCAGCTTTTGCCGAATTCCAGATTGTGCCTACCCTGCTTGACACAAAATCTCATCCCTGTCATTTATGTGTCACATGTCAAAGACTTTACTGCCCAGTGCAGAAAAGGCATTTGAAAACTGATCAGTAAGGGGTTATGTATAGAGCCTGGCCCTAGGATCTAGGGGTTCCACAGGGTTACAGGAAATTATTTGAAGACTAACCCTGGTACAGTTCATATTTCTGCACTGTTGTACCCTTAGAAAAATTTAGACCATACCAGGTTAGCTTTCAGTGGGAGCTTGGGGAGTACTTAGATGCTGGGAACTGCACATTAACCTTCAATATTCCATGATTCCATTTAGTTGCATTTATATGTGTTTTTAAAACAAATTTCAAACTATGGTTAGAGTTCTTCAGAAAACACAGGAACGGTTTTGTCACACAGATTTTTGAGGTATAAAGCCCCATTCACACTTTGGCGTAGCGGAAACACCGGTAGAAACAAGTGATTCTGAAAATGCCTGACGTACTTACAGTACCATTATTTCTTCATGGCAGCCCAACATGGGTTGCGACACAACAAAACACACCAAAATGATGAGCATGATTGGCTCATGTCCAGAATTTGCTACATAAGCATCTTTAGCATGTTTTTGGGGCAGATGGAGGCCCATTCAAATGAATGGTGCTGCTCCAAATGCACTAAAAACACCCCAAAAACCCAATGCAGTAGCATCACTCAAGTGTAAACAGACCAAAACATAATGTGGATTATTTATTGATGAAACAGAAGGAAATTTTGCAGCAGTTCACAGACAAGGCATGTTGAATTCAAATGTGGAGAGCTGAATCATATAACTGCATGATGAACTGCATTTGTCTGATTCTAAAATAATACTGTATCAATTTGGTTATTCATAGTCCAGTTCTGAAATATATTTCACACAGATTTTAAATGTTTACTCATTTGGATTAGAATTAGATTTTTGCAGTTTGAAAATGTCTAATCCTGATGAAGGTACAAAATCATGTTTAATTTCTTGGCTGAAAGCATATTCTAAAATCTATCAGCTGACATACTCAACACCTATTTATATCCTTTTCCATATTGATGCACATAGATATAATATTTAACCTCTTCCAATCCAGCAAGCATATATACAGTATATACATCATGGAAGGAAAGGGGCTATACTAAGATCATGGCTACAGCTGCAACCAAGATCCTGATATTGTTTTTTTACAGCTAGCAAATTGCTTTCATGCAAAAGTGATCAAAGTAGCTTTACAGTGGTCCAATCACTTTTACAGGGTTCAGAAGGGTCCCCCCATTGCTACTGATAGGGAGCCCAGGACCACACTAAGCAGCTTTTGGGTGTTCAAAGTAATTTACTAGCAAAAAAAAAAAAGTTGATTTTGACACGTATGTGAAAAATGTCAAAATTGCTCTGGACTGCAAGTGGTTTATTTTAGGCCACTGCTTACTGGGTCTCTTTTTTTGTTTTGTTTTTTACAGGCGTGTTCCCATCTCCAACAAACCAATTGAAGATGATGATGTAGATGTTGCGAATGAGAGACATAGAGTTTTGAGAGGAGGTGCTGATAATGACATGTTGAAGATAGAGAATTTAACAAAGGTAGCAGTTTGATTTGTCAATATTATATCCCTAAAAAGGGAGAAGGTGTTCTTGTCATGCACGAATGCCAAAAAGCACATGAACAGAATATGCTTGCCACTCATAAGGACTTTTCTTGCTGCCTCTCACCATCAGTGTACATAGAGAACACCGTGACACTTTCTATTTAGTAGAGAACGCTCTGTGGCTCTCTGATGCCTTCTAGAGGATTCAGCTTGATGTAAACTACTTGTCTTACTTCATGACCAGCATTAAAGTGGAACTGAACTCAAAAAGTAATAATCTAGTAGGTTATAGTAACATCATTTTAGTGCCCTAAAAAAATTCAACTTTTATGCATTTTTAATATCCAGCACTTCCCAGTAAGTGAGCATGCCTGTGCCTATAGCCTCATAGCTGTGTATCCTACCCTTTGCACTTTAAAGCTGATCTCCATGTTTTAGTTGACCAAGCTGCTCCAAAGAAACCATTTGTCACTAATAGATGCAGTGGCTGTGTGCAATGTATGAACTGTATGCAGCCTTAGCTACATACAGTATACAGCAATGTGTTCTGGCAGTGGGACGGCAAATTTCTGGAACAAGATAAAGTTGGGTTGAGAGCTGCTCGGTCATTCACAGGGAGGGAGCTTTGTATTCTATGAATGAATGCAAAGCTACCATTGATGTGCTGAGACAGAGAGCCAGGTGCATAAACTCAATCTCCAACTCCATCATTCACAGGGAGAGAGCTTTGTATTCTATGAATGAATACAAAGCTTTCTGTAATTGGCTGAGTTAAGTTCCTTTTTAACTGCTTAAATAGATGCGTTTTTTTAATGCAGCATAAATTATTCAATTTTAGCATGCTAGTCCCTGCTACACAAGCAAGTTTTTTTAAAACATACATTTTGTACATGTTCCTAATGTTTGTTTGACTTGAGCAGGTGTAGTGTGTAATTGGCACAATAAACACTAGTACTTATCCAAACTCTAAAAGACAAAAACAGCCCATTCAGCTCCATAACGCACTCTGGAAGGGCTTCCACTGAGATTGGCATTGGATGGCACATAGCTGGGCTTTCCCAGTCATTAATTCAGTACCAGATTTCATCTAATATATTTTCTCCTTTCCTGCAGGTTTACAAGTCTCGGAAGATGGGCCGCATCCTTGCAGTAGACCGCTTGTGTATTGGTGTTCAACCAGGAGAATGTTTTGGGCTTCTTGGTGTAAATGGAGCTGGAAAGACCACCACATTCAAAATGCTTACAGGAGATGAGAGCACCACTGGAGGAGAAGCTTTTATCAACAAACACAGGTGCGAGCAGAGGCTTATCTCCTTTAGATGTAAAGGGTTTAGTAGCCTCCCTGGCGGTATTCCCGAGTGTAGCTCAGGGTAAAGTTTCAGTACCAGAAGCGGTAACCCCGAGCTACACTTGGGCTTACCATGCGGCGCTGCTCCGCGATCCCTCGATCACTTACCTTGTCCTGCGCTCCCGCGATGTCCCTCCTGCAATGTCCCCGGCAATGTAATCCGGCGGATGCCGCCATCTGTCTTCTGGGTTCCGTCCCCTGCGAATGTCGGGACGTACAGGGGACGGAACTGGTGGGAAATTTGAAAATGACAAAAAGTGACATTCACTAAAATCACATAGTAAAACATTACTGTATCAAAGCATTTCACATACATTTTGTCCTGTGCCCTGCCTGCATTTTTACTGTTCTTTCTGCCTGGAAACTGAGAAACGTCCATGGCGTCCAAAAAGCGTCCCTTTAGGTCAAAAGCGGTTTTAGACCAGCTAGAATACAGCGATAGTAAATCAGAACGACTTGCAGAATTGAGTGATGATTCGCGGGGAAATTCGTCATCAGACACTGAAAACAATTTTGCGACTTTGCTCAGTGATGTTGGCGCTATATTTCAAATTTCAGTGTTTTTGGTTTGATTATATTATTTAATTAAATTTATTATATTATTTTTTATGATTATTTATTAAATTATAATTTATGATTTCGTGTTTCAAGTTTTATCCTACCCGGGATGTATATTAGACTCTTGTTCGGACAGATTTCAGTGAGTTATTTCTAAAAATTACAGGCCTACAATAATAAAAAAAATACATATTTCCATGCAAAAAAATGTACCGCTTTGAGCACAGAAATATGGACATAATCAGACCGCTAGGGAGGTTAAAACAGGAGCTATTTATTCACTTATAAACACAAATAAAAATAAGATAACAAATCTGTTGTTTAGCAGCTAGATTGTCTATCTGTGTCTCCAAAGCAGATTAGCCGATGAAAATGATTGGTCATATAGCTTTCTGATTTATGAGGGTCTTAGTGTTCTCTTAAGATGTCCATCAAAGTCTCATACATGATACCACCTGTTCTTCTCATCTTTGGCAGCATCTTGAAAGAGCTCCTTCAGGTTCAGCAAAGTATTGGTTACTGTCCCCAGTTTGATGCATTGTTTGATGAACTCACGGCCCAGGAACACCTCGAGCTATACACCCGTCTTAGGGGGATTCCTTGGAAAGATGAAGAAAGAGTGAGTTATTTTTAAAAAGAGTAAATATGTCTACCAGTAAATATTTTATTTATAAGTGGGGTTTGTTGGGTTGAGTCACTTGTTGGCTTCTTGTGTAGTTTTGGACCCCTGAGGTCTCTGCTCCACTGAACATTGTTTATTATTGGAGCTTGTAACTTCACATACTTTAAACTGTTAAGCCAAGTCATTCTTCCCATACAAAAATTGGAGTTCCATTCAATACCTTATAACAGAGATTCTTTCATATGAAGTGGAAGAACCAATAGGCAGTGGAATCCCATTGTAATTGAAGGTGTGCAGACATGAGACATAAAACAAAGATCCCAATTTAAGAGGCTAAATATATGAAGAGGCAAAAGAAACCTTTTAATTCATTTAAAAAAGGGAACCTGTTAGGATAGCGGTTACCTGGCACATCAAAATACTCCTTTTGCTGCATTCACTATCAGTGGTGTAACCTGCCCTTCTGAAACTGTTCCAAGCAGCAAATCACAGATTCATTTGTTATCTGCTTACCTCCATTTAAGCATATTCAAAATTCTTAAAGGATAAGTTCACCTTTTGGACAAAAATAATAAATGCATATTTTTTTTGCAGGTAAAAAAATTTGCATTTTGTTATTTTTGTCCAAAGGAGCCTGTAAAGGATTGCACCAGCAATCAGTAGATGGCTGATGCCATGCAGGTCTCCTTCAGACCTGTCAGAATATCTGCTAGCTGTACGGTCAAGCAGATATTCTGAAATGGAGCTTGATTGAACTGCCACAGTGCTCCACAGTGCCATGGTAGTTCATTGAAAACTACAAGCCGACAACCACTAAGGCTGCCGGCACTTGTAGGCACTCATTCACAGAACTCTGTAAATGGGTGACGTGGGCAGAGCCCCCTGCAACCACGCCATTTTCAAATCTGACAGTAAGGGGAGACTTTTCCCCGTACTGTCTGTCATTGGGAGGCCGGGGGCAGCGGGCTTTGCTGCGGCTATGGGAACATGTTACACGTTCCACGCTAAAAACGGGTGGAACATGTGCCAAAGGTGAATTTATCCTTTATGTCTTGATAGGGGTTGGGGAGCATTTGGTCCCTGAAATGCGCTGCATTTACTCTGCTTTTAATCAATTTTTTCACTAATTTACTTTGGACATTTGTTTTGCACTCTTATTGAATGTATGTGGATACCCAGCTCTAGGTCCTTTCTCTGTTCCTGAGGTTGGTCCCCATTTTGTGGAGTGCTGCTGAGCTAGTGTACCCAGTGAATTTTAGTGATCCTTACAATATCTGAATCCAGTGCCATGTCTGTTCTTGTGTTTGGACGTGGCACATCCTTCCATTCAAATCGAGGCAGGCACTGCCTGAATACCAAAAGCAGTGCTGGTTCTGGAGTAGGCACGCCACAGTGTCTGCTATGGCAGCGGTATCATGGTCCAGACCAGAACATACATCATTTCTGTGAGCACCAGAACAGCTCCTAGCAATGTTGGGGGTCTGTGCCACCTGATAGCCATTTGGACAGGTTCCCTTTAACTCTCCCCCATCCTACAAAAACTGAAAATCAAACAATATGGATACCCATTCTGCGTGACATGTTTTTCAGTCCATGTTGGAACTGTGAATACTTTAGATAGTGATACCCACTCACTTTCTAAAACATAAATAGTATGTTACCCTAAAAAAAAAAAAAAAAAAAAAATCGTTCAAAAGCCTGTAAAAGCTTAGGGAAACAGAATTAGTAAAAAAAATATAGTATTTACAAAATAATTTGCCTTATTATACCACCCTTATTATATTTAGTATTATATTGATCAAAAAGTGGAGATGTGCTCTAAAGGAGAAGTATGACCTTCTCCTATGGATTACAGGAGTGCACTTCATTCTGCACTCCAGTGATCTGTTTTCAGCTGACAGCTCACTGTCAACTGACATCACTCAGCCAGTCCAGATTCTGAAGAGATCTCAACTTTAAAGTCAAGATTCCCCCATAGGCCTGGATCTGCAGCTGGCTCAGCCTCTCAGCATGTCATTGAGAGCTTGAGCCAGCCGTTTCCGATCCTGCCCCCTCTACAGCCTGGCACACCAGTAAGTGCTGGAGGAGCTGAGCAGAGAGCTGCTGACTGACAGTCACTGGCTCACTGCAGAACTGAGTGATCAGTGGCAGGGGCGGACTGACCATTCGGGCACTGCCCGAGGGCCGGGGTCAATAGCGTGCCCCATGAGAAGTTCAGTCTGCCCCTGGAGGTGCCCATAGCTTAGAATACAAAAAATAGGACGTTTTAGGCAGGAGGCGGCAGTAAACCATGACAGCCTGCCGGTGGCGAAGCAAGGCTGGGAGGAAAGGACTCATGTTGGCCAGGATGAAGGAGGGATGGTTGAGACATGGGGATGAGGGTAGTGGCACTTCTCCTCCTAGGGAGTTCAGAAAAGGGGCGGAGCCACAATCCACATCCCCACTGTGGGTTGATAGCAGTCCATGCTGATGAAGAGAGCTGGAGGCGGCAGTGCACTGTGGAGCGGAATCAGAGCTTGTGTTACCCTGCCTTGTGTGCAGCAGGTCAGTGATTGTCAACCCAACAGATGTGTGCACTCTTCTGTAATCTCTACCAGACCGACTGAGTATCACAGTGACTGCCCAGTGCCCATACACTAAGTGCTATTCCCTATTCTGCAATAACACCAATCTCTATACACTTAGTGCACACTGATATCTGTACACTGAGTGCCACTCATTGTACAGCAATTCGTGTTATATATAGGTAATAGCACTTAGTGTACGATATCCGTATTATATATAGGTAATATATATAATATATTACCTATACCTATAGTGAGTGCTATTATCTATATGTAACATTGATATCTGTACTCTGAGTGCCATTTCCTATATATAACACTGACACAAGGCTGGACTGACCATTCGGGCATTTAGGTGTTGCCCAAGGGGCCAGGGTTGGTAGGAGGCCCCGTGAGAGGCTCACTGTTTGGTGACAGTGTGAGGAGCAGAGGAGGAGGCAGTCTCCGATCCCAGATGTAGCTCACCTTTCATTTCAGGTAGTGGCAGAGCAAGTCGGGGTCCCAGGCAGTCATAGTGCCTTGTACATGCTGCTGGTGATGAAAATGGTGGGCAGTGGGGAGGTGAGAGGCAGTGGCGTATCATCCATGGGTGCAGGGTGTTCATTGCAAACACCCTGCACCCATGGATGACATGCATCAGGACTCAGGGATGATCAGTGCAGTGGAGGGACAGTGACAAGCACTGATCTCCCTGTATGGCTTTCAATGAAGCAGCTGAAATCTGTGGGAGGAAGGGGAGGAGAAGTAGCTTCCAGCTGCTTCATTGAAAGCTATACAGGGAGATCGTCACTGCACCCATCATCTCTGACTGTGCATTGGATTTCCCTTCTGGGTCCCCCGTGTGCTCCTCAGACTCCCCCCTGCACGTGTCTGATGCCCCATCTTCTCTGACGGTGCCCAGCACCTCCCGCCATCCTCCACAACTATGGCCGAGCAGAGGAGAGAGCCCAAATCTACTCTGCCTCCACTTTCCCTGCCCACACTCCAGTCTATGCAGCTTTTGAGAAGATGTGTGGGGAAATTGTGCCAGCAGCTCTGTGATGCTTCTAAGTGTGCCAGTAAGCCAGGAATCATCCATGTGAGTCCTTCCTTCCTCCATCCATTCCCTCCCTTTTCTTCCTTCCCTTACTCCATCCTCTCCCTTCCTTCTTTCCTCCCTCTGTTCCTTTTCTTCCTTCCCTTCTTCCTTCCTCTCTTTCCATTCCCTCCCTTTCCTTCCTTCCTTCCTTCCCTGGCTCCCCTTCCTTCATTCCTTCCTTCAGTCCTTCCTCCATCCATTTCCTACCTTCCTTCTCTTCCTCCATCCCCTCCCTTCATTCTTTCCCCCCTCCCCTCCTTTTCTTTCCCTCCTTCCTTCCCTCCCCTTCCTTCATTCCTTACTTCTTCCTCCTCCCCTCCTTCCTTCCTCCCCACATTCCCTTCCTCCCTCCTTCCTTCCTCCCCTCCTTCCTTCTTCCCTCCATTCCCTCCCTCCCCCTTCTTCCTTCCCTTCCTCCATCCCCTCACTTCATTCTTTCCTTCATCCCCTCTCATTTCCCTCCCTTCCCTCACCTTCCTTCCTCTCTCCCTCCCTCCTTCCCTCTTATTCCTGCCCTCCCCTTCCTTCATTCTTCCACCATTCATTCCCTCGCCCCTTTTCTTTCCTCCTTCCTTACTTCCTATATTCCCTCCCCTTCCCCCTCCCTCCCCTTCATTCTTTCCTCCCTCCCCTTCTTTCATTTCCTTCTTTCCTTATCTTCCTTCCTCTATCCCCTCCCTTCATTCTTTTCCTTCCTCCCCTCTTTTCATTTCCGTCCATCCTTCCTTCCTCCCTCCATTCCCTCTCCTTCCTTCCTTTCTCCATTCCCTCCTTCTATTTTCTTCCTTTCTTCCTCCCTCCCCTCCTTCCTTCCCTCCCTCCCCTCCATCCATTTCATTCCTTCCTTCCCTCCCTCTCCTTCCTTCCTTCTCTCCTTCCCTTTCCTTCATTCCTTTTTTCTTTCCTCCATCCATTCCCTCCCTCCCTTTTCTTCCTTCCTCCCCCCCCTTCCTCCATCCATTCTCTCCCCCTTTCCTTCTTCCTGATATAAGTGGGTACAGGTTCTGTTTATTCATCCCACTCTAATGACAGCCCAACATATACCATTGCTCCCTGTTCACTCCCTACTGACACTGTCCACTGCCCCCACAAAATAATTGTGAAAAAATACAAAAATAAATTGTAAAAAAGTAATAAATATTAAACATAATAAATTCTGACACCCACGCCATTGCTCTACTGACACAATCGACTGGCCACCCAAAAGCATTTTTGAGAAAATTATAGAAATAATAAAACATAAAATTGTAAAAAAAAAAATTAATAAAAATAAAGACCTACTGACACCATCCACTGACACCATTCTGCACATACTACCCACTGCCATACACTCCACACTCCTCTCCCTGTACATACCACCAACGCTGTACATCCCCTATTTAAGGTTACCACGTTCTGCACTGTGTGTCGTCTCGGACACTATTTAACAACTCCCCCTTTTAAGCCACACACCCAATTTTTAACTCACTTTAAAAACACACCCCTCTCTCTCACCCCCTCCACTCTGTCTCACCCCTTCCACTCTGTCTCGCTCCTCCTCCTCCCGCTCACCCACTCCCCTCTTGCTCTCACTTCCCCACATGGCAGCCATCTTTAAACCTGAAAGTGCCCAGTGGCATCTACAAAAAGAAGCCGAGAACATTCATACAGTCTTTGCTGCAGTAAATATTTAAATGGCCCTCCTATGCAGCTGAGCTGCAATATGTAGGTGGGGCGTTGTGTGGGTGTGGCTTGAGTGTAGGCGGGGACACGGGGCCCCATTATCCCTTATTGCCCGGGGATCCCATAGTTGTCAGTCCGCATCTGATCAGTGGTGTTTATTTGCTCAGTTCTCAGTCTTAGAGGTGGTAAGGGATAGATGCAGCATCAGACCAATGCTGCATCCACCTTGGTAAGTGTAAATGTTTCGGGTTTTTTTTGTATTCTCTTTTAACATTGATATGTGAATAGTACCAGAAAACAGAATTATGTTTTGAAATATTGTGTTGTGTATTTATTATCATTACACAACTGTTATTGCAATACAGTGCACCTCCTGTATAAAGCTGGAAGAAATTCAACTTGTTGCCCATAACAACCAGATTGTTTGTTAGTTTTATTTTCTTACCCAAATTGGCCAGGTGAGATCTGACCAGTTGGCGAAAGGTAAAACATTTTATATAAAAAACCCAGGATAAGCTCTGTAGCAATTCAACATTATAGATTCCACCTAATGCCAGGTAAGAGAATCTGGGCACTTTCATGAAAGAAGAAATATGAGATATTGTTCACCAAGGCATGACACAGTTATTAAGATGTTGTATTCTTGGCAGGTGGTGAAGTGGGCACTGGAGAAGCTGGAACTGACTCAATATGCTGACAAGCCAGCGGGAACATACAGTGGAGGGAATAAGAGGAAACTGTCTACTGCCATCGCCCTCATTGGCTACCCATCATTCATATTTTTGGTAAAATGCAAAACTTAAAGTAAATCTGTACTCCACCTTAAACTTTCAAAAGGTTTTTAATCTTACCCAAGAATACACACTCCACAAGCCGCCCATTATTACCTGTATTAGTCAAAAAAGGCCCTTTTGCACCTCTCTTGATATGTTAATTTTGTTAATGGGGATTGACATTCCCTGACTTCACAACTAAGCCTTGGCAATGAAATTGCCTATACTTGTCGCGAAGGCAGCTTGTTGGCAGATGGATGGTAAAAATCCCTCTGTCCCAAAAAAACAGATTAATAGTGTCATCTACTGTTTATTGCTATAGGATGAACCCACAACAGGAATGGATCCCAAGGCTCGACGATTCCTTTGGAACCTTATCCTGGACATCATCAAGACTGGGCGCTCCCTGGTGCTAACATCACACAGGTATGATTAGGACTCTGTTGTTAACAGGAGTGTGCCTATGCTTAGTGCTTTCTGAGACAGCAGTTAAAGCAACCCTTTCCTTTGGCAATGTTTATCGAAATGCTACCAATATGAACTATTTAGCTCACCAGTGCATAACTAGCAAACAAAAGCGCTGGAGTGACTGTGGGGTGCTGACAGCTCAGCAACCCCGGAGGTAAGTACATCAGGGACCGGGGAGGGGGGTGTGAAGATGGTGTCCAATGTTAGTTCACCTTTTCATTTCTTTCTGTAAAGGCGAACTAACCCTTTACCAGTAAGCCCAACTGAAAGTTAAATACATATTCCAAGTCAAGATCGCGGTCAAACTGGCTTTATTTATATCAGCACCATTAACACCTTCCCTTGTCACCAGCATGGAAGAATGTGAAGCTCTGTGCACTCGGCTGGCTATAATGGTCAATGGACGCCTCAAATGTCTCGGCAGCATCCAGCACCTGAAAAACCGGTAATAATATAGTTCCAAATCTGAAGTGTAACATCTCTTTAGTTAAAGCGGAACCTTAAACAGTATAAGCACTTGTTTTTCTGTTTTAGTGTTTATATTGAAGGTTACCGTGCAAATAGGTAACAATACAGCCATAAACCCTTGATAGTAATGGCCAATGGAGCTCGCAACGCAGGCAAGACAGAAAGAAAAAGGCATACATTAACAGCAAGAAAAAGGCATACATTAACAGCATGTATGGTAGGTGCAGCAAACCTGAATTTCAAAATTTACCCTCAAAAGGGAATTACCAGAGAAAATCAAGAACAAAGGAATGTATATGCGACTCTGCGGGAGAGCAGCTCAAGTGGACCAGGGCCTGATATCTGTTCCATTTTGTATCAGGAGATAACAGGCACAAGAAGAACAGGGAGATGCACAATTTGTCTTTTAGTCAAAATAGGACATTAATCCATCAAAGGGCAAAATGAGGAGAAAAGAATAAGAAGCAGGAAAAGGGAGTAAGAGAGGAAGAGCAAAGAGAGAGACATAATCCACCCAAGTGACAGGCCCGTCCATCCCAGCAAAGAGAAGAGGTACTAAGATGCAGTCTGTAATAACTAATCCAAGGGCTCCAGACTTGCTGAAACCTGGTAGAGGTATCATGTAGGATGCTTACCATTTTCTTGTTAATCATGATCCACAATAGTTTACATTTCATCAACATAAAGTCCACCACTGGGCTCTTCCAGGCAGCTACAATCGCAATTTTGGCTGCCAGGAACATAAAATAGATTAGGGTAAGAGCAGATCTCGAACTCCAGCTATGGGTTCATTAAGCAGTGTAGTTCTGGGTTTTTTTTATAACATTTGTCATGGTCATGGTGAAGATAAGGGAATAAATGCGTATAGAGTATTGTCTAACTTTAGGGCATGTCCACCATGTGTGGAAACAGAATGAGTTGGAACCAGGGTACGTTTTGGTCCTAGACCATTTGTCAACAGAGAGGGCCTTGTAGCCTGTCTCCACAAGGGAGACATTCATAATTCCTTTATGTATGAGTCAAGGCCTCCTCGCCTATGTCCCTATCCCAGGAGGACATTTACAGAAGTTTACTTGAAGTGGAGACAAACAACTTATACAGATTTGAGTTTCTCTCCCTTCTGAGCCTCGCTGCGGAAAAAAAATCTGCTTTCAAAAGCTGTTTGTGTGGTAATGTCAACGGTGTTCCCTTGAGCAGAGAAAATGAAGAGTTTTCTGCAAGCGGTAAAGCTCAGCATCAGGAGTCTCAAGTTGTGTAAAATAGGTAGTGGGGTGTATCCCCCCATGATCCAGAAAGTGTCCCACATGGCAGAGGCCTATATTTATGCACCATTTAAATTCCTGTGGGCAAAGACCAGGGGGAAATTTTGGGTTGCCAAATGATGGCGCTACAGGAGAGTGGGGGGAGTGAAAGGCAGCCAGGAAGAATCCCACAAATGCAATGAATGTGACAATGTAGGACAGAGGATTGCCCTCCAATGTTTGACAGAAACCCACATTAAAAGATCTATGGGGAGAGGTGCGGAAGCCTGTACCTTCACTTCCTATCGACCTGAGTGGAAAGGCTTGGAGTTCATTTGGGTCAATTGAGTTATCCGCCCTATCATATTTTCTGAGGTCTGGGACCCCCAGCCTATCTAGAGTCTCCATGTCTCTTACTAAATACCTTGAACTGTATATTTTCCAAAAATGGGTGATTTAAGGGGCACTTGTACTATCCTGGCATTTTTGGGCCTTAGGAAATGAGATGGGACATCAGTATTGATCAATTGTCATATACATACACACAACACACACCCCTTGGTTTGTGGACTCTATAACTTTCCTACAGATTAAATAATATACACTAATTTGGGGTATTTTCATCAAAGAAATGTAGCAGAATACATTTTGACCTAAATTTATAAAGAAAGGTTATTTATTTGCAAACTTTTATAACAAACAAAACAAATGCATTTTTTTTTTCAAAGGTTTTAGGGTTTTTTTGTTTTTTATTTAGCAAAAAATAAACTCAGTGGTGATTAAATACCACCAAAAGAAAGCTCTATTTGTGAGAAAAAAAGATACAAATTTCATATGGGTACAGTGTTGTATGACCTTGTAATTGTCATTCAAAGTGCGACAGCGCTGAAAGCTGAAAATTGGTCTGGGCAAGAAGGGGGTAAAAGTGCCCGGTAGGCTTGTGGTTAAGCAGGGCAGTTAGTTCTGACTCTTTTTGGTGTAGGAGGGCTTCCAAATTTTTTTTATATCTTGAGGGCAATTGAATAAGGATACCTTGCAGGCACTTGTTTTTATTTGTTTCATATAGCTATACATACATATATATATATATATATATATATATATATATATATATATATATATATATATATATATATAAAAAAGGCCAGCCTGAAGTGATTTAACAGGAGTTCATTTTCTGATTTGACATGTGCAAAATGAAAACATTTGTTTTGTTTCATTTCGATTCATTATTTGACAAATTTCATTTTGTTCGAATCGTTAAATTCGTTTTTCGGAATCCATTTCATTTATTCAAATTCAACCGAATTAGAAATTTTGAACAGATTCAATAATAATTTGAAACGTTACAATCCATAATCCACAATCCATATGTATTTTTTGATGGTGTATGGGCTATATGAAGAGTTGCTTGACCATTTTGGAAGTTTCTATTTCAGCAAAAAACTTTCACAGTGCCATGTAGATCACTACTCATGTCACCATAGCGCAGCTCACAATTTTTTGTAAAGTATTTTAGTCTTTTCTAATCTAGTGTTTTATATTCTATTCTAATGTATTCTGTTAGAATAGAATATAACTGCCTTCTGAAATTCAATCGTTTTTTCTATGCTATTCTAATCTTTGATTCTCTATTCTAATCTTTTCTATTCTATTTTGCTCTGTTATACTCTATTATTTTCTATTCTAATCTTTTCTATTCCATTCTAATTGATTCTGTTCTTTTCCATTCTATTCTTTGATTTTCTATTCTAATGGATTATATTCTTTTCTATTCTAATGGATAATATATTCTTTTCTATTCCTTTATTTTCTATTCCATGTTGTTCTGTTTTACTCTATTTTCTACTGTGTTCTGTTCTATTCTTTTTTCTATTCTGTTTTTTTCCTTTCTTCTTTCCTTTTCTATTTCTTGATTTTCTGTTCTACTCTTGTTTTCAAATTTTTTTGTCAAATTTTCCAATCGATTTGGATTTTGGCCAAATTTTGTTTCCTTATTTCATAATCATCTAAATGCATTACTATTGTAATTTGGATACATCCGAATCTCCGAATAACCAAAAATTCTTCCAAATTTCGATTTGGAACGAAACGAACTGCACATGTCTATTTCTGACTAAATGTCCACTTTAAGATAAAAAAAAAAAAAAAAAAAAGGGTCAGTTATGTACAGCAATTAAATATTTTTGCAACCTAGGTACTGTGTTCTATATGTCCTCATCCTCTCATTTCAGTAACATTCAATGTCATAGTGTAGCCATGGACTTTTTGAGGGATATAAAAATGAACAGCACTACATGCATGATATATGAAACAAAGTTTATTTATACATCCAATGAATTGAAAGGACAAAAACACCTAGAATATGTATACTGTAAAGGGTTCATACAATGTTTACATATGAATGATCCACATGTAGCCGTGACGTGTATCGAATGATCTTCCTCAGGAGCACTTTTGGATGTTCTGAGAATATTGTGGTCCTCCAAAGCCCAGTCTCGTACCCCCTTCTGGAAAAAAGATGCTTCACACCGTGTTAAATCCAGCTGACAGTGTACCTTTTTTGTTTTTTAAAGATTGGGGTCCATTATATTGATATATATGTGCTCCTGAGGAAGATCATTCAAAACTTGTTGAGTCTATCATTTGAATGTTTTTGTCCTTTTGTTTTGTTGGATGTCTCAATAAACTTTATGGTTTTATAGAACATGTATGTAGTGCTCTTCATCTATATGTCCCTTAAAAAGTCTATGGCTACGCAATGACATTGTATGTAATCGGTTATGTACACTGCATTGATTTTAGCAGACTTCATTGCATAGTACTACCTGCTATTAGATGATTGAAGCCAACTCATGCATTCTATTGTAGATTGGAGGGGGCACTGGCTGCTTTAATCACGTGATCAATCCCAGTGCTGTGTTAAGAGAAAAAAAAAAAAGCAAATAATAGTGGTGATCCAGTCACATGAGCAGGGAATGACATTTCTAGTGGCAGTCTACACAAACAACGTTCAAAGCAGCTCTGGACTTACCATAATTAAAGTGTTACTAAACCCACAACAGTAAAATCAGTCTCTATATGCAGTAAAGCATACTTGTTATACTCACTGTGGAACCTAAGGAATTAAGCCCTAGGACCAACTCTGCACATGCTCAGTTTGCGTATCGTATGCTTAAAGTGGAGCTCCACCAAAAAGGGGAAGTTCCGCTTTAAGGACTGCTCCTCCGCTCCCCATTGAGGATTGGCACCTTTTGGGTTGGGAGGGGTGACAGGTACCCGCTCCAACTTCCGGTCCGAAAGGAGTTTTCCCTCCCTCTCTCCCTGTAGTCTTTTGGGACACGTGACAGGTCCCAGAAGACTACAGGACCATTCACGAAGAGCAGCGCTACTCGCGCATGCGCATTGGGCCCCCTACTGACCTCGGGCAGTGCCCGAGTGCTCGAATGGTCAGTCCGTCCCTGCAGTGGACACATGATTTAGTAAAGGACATAGTTCGTTTGGACCAAACTAACTATTTAAAATTAAATGAAACCTAGAATTAGTCGAACTCCTGAAAAGGCTATTTTCTGTTACTTAAAGCAGAGCTCCACCCAAAAGGGGAAGTTCCGCTTTAAGGACTGCTCCCCATTAAGGATTGGCACCTTGGGGGAGCGGGTACCTGAATTTGACAGGTGTCCTCCCTCCCTCCCTGTAGTCTTTTGGGACATGTGACAGGTCCCAGAAGACTACAGGACCATTCACAAAACGCAGTGCTACTCGCGCATGCGCAGTGAGTACCCGGCTGTGAAGCCGCAAGCTATCACAGCCGGGTGTCCACAGTGAAGATGCCAGCCTCCTGGAATACAGGACAGCCGGTGAAACGAGCTGCGGGGGACACACCACGGGACAGAGGGACAGGCAAGTGGCTGTTTTTTAAAAGTCAGCAGCTACAGTTTTTGTAACTGCTGACTTATTTTTTGATAGGTCGAGTGGAACTCCATTTTAAGTGTGAATTGCTAGAGAGTTTTTTTTACTTTTTGGGCTGGTGCATGTGATCAGCACAGGGCCAATCAGCACTGTCCAGACAAAGGGGCAGGGCTCATGCAGCCTTATAGGACAGTCAGAGCAGAATGAAAACTCTTCCTACAAGCTTTAACCAGTGTTCTGCTGGACACTGAAAGAAGTCACAAGACTGCTATATACTGCTGATGTGAAAAGGTATTTAGCAGTTTATATTTACTAAAAAAATAAATAAATTGCATTTCCATGTTGTGTGTACTGTGAGAGACCAGATATAGCGAATGCAGAGTCCTGGGTTTAGTAACACTTTAAGCCAACCATCCATGGATCGAAATTCATCCAGTTCAGCAGGGAGTGGCCAAATTTCAATCCATGTCCGGCAGGTTGGTTGTACACAAGTTGCTCTATCAATCAACTTGTGTACAACCAGCTTCTTGGAAAAAATGTTCTTAATGCTATTTTTTTTGTGAAATTGGAGTTTTTCATTAAATATGATTAACAATGTTGCAGGTTTGGTGACGGTTACATGATCACTGTAAGGACAAAATCTAGTGTGAACGTCAAGGAAGTTGTACGGTTTTTCAACAGGAACTTTCCGGAAGCTGTACTCAAAGTAAGTCTGAGCAATTCTCACTGTTCCCATCATCGGAAATGTTGCAATAAAGAATAAATGAGTAACTAACCTCCTGCTTGCTCTCTTTTTTTTTTTAAAAGATGTCCCCCCCCCCCCCTCAAACTATACTTACCTAGGTGAATGCAGCATCGGTCCCCCGCTGGCTCCTCCCCCGCATTCACTGGCGTGCTGGGCTGTGGAGGGGGAGGAAGCGGCTGGCTCAGGATCTCAGCAGATCTCTAACAGTCTGAGCCAGGCACCACTCCAGACTTTGGGGTGGATCCAGACTTTAAAGTCGGGATCTTTCTCCAGCTTGGACCGGCTAAGTGATGGTAGCCGACAGCGGACTTCATCCCGCTGTCAGCTGAAAACAGGTCACAGGAGTGCAGAACGAACTGCACTTCTGTGATCCACAGGAGAAGTACAGCCAAAAGAGCTTTGGCTGTACTTCTCCTTTAAGTGTTTACTAGAAATTAGAAAACCGGGTTATACTTGTTTTTAAAGGGAACCTGTGCTTTGTTCATACAGGGCAAACAGATTAACTTTAATCCCCCCACCCTTCCCAAACCGCACATACCTTTCCTTTTCCACCACTCTGTTCAGCCACCGGAAGGACAGCCCTATGTAAGCAAGTCTCTTAGGACACAGGGCTAAGGATCCCTTCCACTGCATGTGATAGTGCTGGGCCAGTAACCGATCACTAGCAATCAGTCATATGAAGTGAGTCACATTCTCTGTCATGCTTGGAAGTATCAAGTATTCACTCTTGGTGACTGAACAGAGCAGTGAGGAAACAAAGGAAAGACTAGTATTCTTTGCTGGGGAGTGGGGCACTAAGAAAAAAAAAAAAAGCCGAACCCCTGGAATTACTCAAAAAACACCCTTGCAGTTTGGGCTCCCCCAGTACTTCAAGGGTTAAATGCCCAAGTCTAGGGATAGACAAATAATCTGTAATACTTGCCTTATTCCTCGCTTTGGCAGGCTTCTGGTAATCACCTCTTCTGACGCTCCAAGCTGTGGCTGGGCCCTCACCATCCTCACTTACAAATGCAGGGCTATTGGCCCTGCATTGTACTTGATGATGTCACTAGCCAGTGTGCTTTAGAAAATTGCCTTCAGAGAAACAGTCACACAGCATATAGGAAGCTTTCTGGAGAAAGGCAAAATATCACAGTTTATACTACTAGGCTTTAACAAGCATTTAATCCTTTCAGTGTGAGGTGCCCCCACTACAATAGGATTTTTTGTGTACTTCCCAAAAGTCTGCTTTAAAGGCAATTGTACTTTGTTTCCCGTTTTTGTGCAAGGACACAATAGGCCTTATTTCTCAATAATTTTGAATTGGCACAAACTATCTTACAGTATGTATTGCCTCTAGAAACCTGCCAGACTCTCCCATTTTTTTTTCGAGGACATCTCTATTTAAACACCTCCCACCCGCCATGTAGTAATCAGGGAGCGTGCAGCGCGGCGATCGGCAGTGCACTGTGTCCCTTGGACACAGCGGGTCACCGATCACGGAAAGATCTGAAGATGTCGGCTCGGTCATGTGGTCATGTGATCACAGCTGATCACATGTAAACAGGGAAATGCTGGATATCGGCATTTCTCTCCTCTCAAGCTCTCACGCTGACAGCTCGTGAGGAGAGGAGAGCCGGTAATCGGCTTTCCGCAGAGGGGACATCTACACTGATGATCAGTGTGCCCTGATGATCAGTGTAGCCTCAGAAGCACCACCTGTCAGTGTCCATCAGTGCCTCGTGCCAGTGCCCATCAGTGCCACATATCAGTGCCTACCAGTGCACATCAATGCCACATATCAGTGCCCACCTGAGCTGCCTTTCAGTATCACCCATCAGTGCCAGTCAGTGCCACCTATCAGTGCTGCCAATAAGTGCTGCCTATCAGTGCCAGTCAGTGCCACCAATCAGTGCGCATCAGTGCCAGTCAGTGCCGGCTATCAGTGCCATATATCAGTGCTGCCTTTCAGTGCCCATCAGTGATGGCTGTCAATGCCCATCAGTGATGCCTGTCAATGCCTATCAGTGCCACCTATCAGTGCCCATCACTGCAGCCTCATTAGTGCACATCAGTGAAGGAGAAAAATCATTTACTAAATTTTATAACAAACTTTTTTTTTTTCAAAATTTTCAGTGGATTTTGGTTTAAGAAAAAATAAAAAACCCAGAGGCGATTAAATACCACAAAAATAAATCTGTCACAAAAAAAATGATAAAAATTTCATATGGGTACAATGTTGCATGACCGCGCAATTGTCATTCAAAGTGTGACAGCGCTGAAAGCTGGAAATTGGCCTGGGCAGGAAGGGGGTATAAGTGCCCTGTAGGCTAGGCTAGCGAAAAAAAAAAAAAAAAAAAAAAACACAGGCGGGTGTTATAAGGGGAAACAAGACACAGCATTAGATCTACTTAAACATTATGTAAACCTAGACAGGGACATCTTAATAGCATCATGGGCAAAGTAATGCTCTGGGCCCCTCTACCAGCCTGCCCCAATTTAAGCACCTACTTTCAAGAATTAAAGTATAAATAGTTGATATATGTTTAATTCTATTTATTAGTACTTTCATTAAAATCTATTTTAAACAATTAGAAAAAATCCCATAATCAACACAAATATTGAAAACAAAATGTAAACAGGCAGTAGAGCAGAGGACAGGGTGTCAGAAGGGCCGAGTACATAAGTCAGTGGGGTAAAGGAGGGGGGCAAGAGGGCACAGTACAGGGGGGAGGCAGGACGTACAGTACAATGAGGGGCAGGAGGGCACAGTATAGGTTTCAGTAATGTATAATGCAGAGATGGTCTCCTCAAGCAGAGCATCGCAGGAAAGCTGCTGTCACAGATCTTACATGATCTGGCACTCTGTCACTGGGCTAAATCTGCAATCAATATTCCCCCCCCCCCCCCCCACACACACACAGTTTTATGACACTTTGCAGGAGTTAAGGGAGAACCCCTGAGGCAAAGCATCTTAATACTGCCGCTGCTTGTGTGGGCAGGATATGTATTATTGCGATCACATGGGATGAATAGGAGAGGAGGGCTGGCGGGGTTTGGCGCAGTATACATCCCACCCACAAAAGCAGTGGCAGTAGTAAGATGCACTGCCTAGGGGGTTCTCCCTTAACCCCTGCAAAGCTTTACAAGAGTGCTGGAAACTGAGGGGTGCCGTGCGTTAAGACGGCCATGAACATAGATGTACCAACATCAAAGGTTTGTAGTGAACACTTTTGTATTTGTCAGCTTCTGTACTGATGATTTAATAGGCGCATGTAAAGGAAAATAAGGAGAGAGAGGGATAGCAAGATGAAAGCAAGACTAAAGCAGGACTTATCCAGGTTTGTGCCCTTAACTACCTACTGAGATATTAAAAGAACTCTTCAAAAGAGGTATACGTAGGCTGTCATTGCTGACCTCTCCTTCTTACTTTTCCTTTTGAAAGTGCTAATTACCTGGCTGTCATGCTAGATCTTTGTTTTTAATACTTTTTGAATTATTGACCCAGAACAAGTATAGAGATAAAAACATTCTGACTTTTACTTGCTGCATGCTGGTCAGCAGCAGTGATGGAAAAGGACTGTATCCAGAATCAGCCAGGTACCCAGCATTTATAGGAGGCAGCCAGCAATGGCAGCCCCCATATATATCTATTATGACAGGTGCTCTTTAAGTGAAATAATTGATCCAGAGTTGCAAACATTTTCAAATAACTTTGTTTTTTCAGCATTTTCAGAAGGAGGCCAGCAATAACAGCCCTATATATTTCTTATAAGAAGGGAGGTGGATGGGGAAATCCTCCCGCTGTGTCATTGTATTCTGACAGTGGGACTCTCCTGCCATCAGAATACAATGATACTAGTGCTGATCAAAGCTAAATTTTCCAGCAGGAGCATTCATGCCAAGGCAACCAACAGATCAACTTCTCATGAAGGGAAACAGCCACACGTGGATCAAAATTCAGCTGGTTCCTGCTGAAGCAGACACATTTTGTTGCTTGTGTGGCTGGCTTTTGTAGACTTTTAAATTCTAATTCTCCTTCTTCCAGAAATACATAGCAGAGAAATCCGACTGCTCTAAGAAATAGCTACCATCATAAACAAAGCCCACAATCATTAATTTTACTTTATTTGACTTAGTTCTGTTTTTTCTCTTACAACACATTCTTCTTTCCTACAGGAAAGGCACCATACAAAAGTGCAGTACCAGCTGAAGTCCGAACAGGTATCCTTGGCCACACAGGTCTTCAGCAAAATGGAGCAGGTGGTGGACATCCTGGGAATAGAGGATTACTCAGTCAGCCAGACCACCCTTGACAATGTAAGTGAGAATCCCATGTGTGTCCCAAAAACAGTTATATTAGTTATCAAGATTAATAAATTGGTGTTCACAACACTTACCTGCCAAAATCTGATTTATGTTCCAAGTGGTTCTGCTTGTTTTTCACATCTGTGATGTGAACAAATAAAGTTTAGAACATTGTATACCAAAACATTTATTTACTTATACACACAGGTCCATTTTCAACCAACAGAGGTGTTTTTGTACCCATTTTGCTGGTAACATTTGCAAATATGGGCCACTACTAGCTTATGGGACTGTTGTAAATACCCCTATGACAGTGAAATAGAGGTCTGTATTAGGCAGATATGGTCATAATGGTGGATAGGCAGATCTGTTGTAGGTTAGATCTTCTACAATGATGGATAAAAAATATCAGGCAGCACATACCCTTACTGTCTATCTGCATGGCCACAACTAGTGTCCTCCTGGGTAAGAATGAGCTTCATAATCAGTTTCTCAAAGTGGGACTTCACCCGAAAGGGGAATTTGCACTTTATGTCCTTTCCTCCCTCCTCTACCACATTAACAATTTTTTTGGGGAGCGGGTACCTAGTTCTCTTTGCCCACAACCTCAGGAGTTGGTTTTGGCCAGCTCAGTGGATTGCTTTAAAAAATGCCTGAATTCTTTCTTAGAATGTAACTGGATACTAACATTTATAGGTAAAGTTGATCCAGGGAATATCCATCCCCTATTCCTGTGATCCTTATCAGTTCCTAACTGGGGTGGAGAAGAGTGCTCATTTGACCATCTCTCTATAAATTTAGATCAGCTCATGGGGGTAAATCACAGATGGCGGGACAGTCACAGATGGGATGCTGCTTTTGCGTGTGTGCTGCGTAGATGGAGTGCTAAGACGCAGTTAAACACAGCAGTCTTAACTAAAGCAGGATAACTCAAGCAGCAGAAAGATACAACAAGAAACTCTACTGCATGCTGAATAGACTGCAAGCAAACACCCTGGGAAACATCTCTTACAAGTCTGAGTCCCACTCTGTGTACCTTTTTAATATGTCCCCTCTACTCCTCCTTTTCATATTACTTTCCTGTGTTCCCAAAATCTCACTTCTTTACCCCTCTGCTCCACCCCAAAACGTGTACATCTCCCCCTCACTGCTACCATCTCTCTACTACTACTCTCATCACCTCCTGCTGCTGGTACTTAACTCTCCTGCTGACCCAAACACCAGGACTGGAAAGCATGTGCACTCATGTACATCCCGCTCCCATCTTATCTTCCTCACCCTTCTTTTTCTCCTAACCTCTGGGGATATCTCCCCAAACCCTGGTCCTCCACTATCTCACCCCCACACCAGGTGTCCTCTTTTTTCCGGGAATAGCCGCAATCCCCTCAATTTAATATCGGTCCCCTTGCTCCCAAAAACCACCCTCTCCCTTTTTCATGTGCACTCTGGAAAGCCCGCTCTGTCTATAATAAGCTCACCTCTGTCCATGACCTATTTGTCTCCCCGCTCCCTTGACCTAATAGCAATTACAGAAACCTGGCTTCAAGCAGCAGATTCTGCTTCCCCCGCAGCACTTTCCTATGGAGGCCTCCTCTGGACACACTCACCCCAGACCCAGTGGTCGGAAAGGTGGTGGGGTTGGTTTGCTTCTATCCCCACTCAGCACCTTTCAAGTCCTCCCTAACCCTCCCTCTCTATCCTTCTCTTCTTTCGAGACTCACTGTATCCGACTGTTTTCTCCCATTTCTCTAAGGATTGCAGTGATCTATTGGCCTCCTGGACCCGTGTCTCGCTTTCTTGATGTTTTCTCTGCCTGGCTACCCTACTTTCTCTCCTCTGATCTACCCAGTTTCATTCTCAGAGATTTTAACATCCCTATTAATGTCAACAACCCGGCTACATCCCAACTCTTCAACCTAACCTCATCTTTTGCATTAGCACAATGTATACAGTCCTCCACTCACTCTGATGGGAATACATTACACCTTGTTTTCTCCCATCTTTGCACTCCCTACAACCTCACAAACACCCCCTTTCCTCTCTCTGATCACAATTTCATCACCTTCACAGTATACACGTCTTCAAACACCTATCCCTCCAAGTGGAAAACAATTACCTGCAGAAACCTTCACAACTTGAACCCTGCTCCTTTCCACTCTGCAACTGACCAACTCTATGACAGAATCTCTCCCCTGTCCTGCCCAGACCTGGCCACTACTGTCTACAACAGTTTGCTTTCATCCACATTAGACTCACTTGCTCCTCTAATAGGAAGCATCAGGCCCCGACCGTTACAACCTTGGCAGACTGATGACACCAGAAATCTTAAACGACATAGTCGTGCGCTGGAGCGATTGTGGCGTAAAACCAAATCCCAGCAAGCCTTCACCCGATATAAATCTGCTTTCTTAACATACAAGTCCTCCCTTCATGCTGCCAAATCCAATCACTGTCCAAATCGTGTAGACTTCACCTCCGCAACATCTCCAAGGTACGCCCGTTCCTAACCTCGGAAACCACTAAGCAACTTATCCACTCCCTTGTTATATCTCGCCTTGACTATTGTAACTCCCTCCTCATTGGCCTACCTCATCGCAGGCTTTCCCTTCTTCAGGCTATCATGAATGCTGCTGCCAGACTCATCCACCTTACTAACCGTTCCATATCTGCCACCCCTCTCTGGCAATCCCACCACTGGCTTCCCGTTGCCCAATGGATAAAATTCAAAACACTAACAATAACGTATAAAGCCATTTATAGCTCTGCCCCAAATTACATCACCGATCTTGTCTCTAAAGATCACCCAAACCGTACCCCCCGCTCCTCGCAAGACCTCCTACTCTCTAGCTCCCTTGTCTCCTCCTCCCATGCTCATCTCCCAGGACTTCTCCAGAACTTCCCCCATCCTCTGGAACTCTCTACCCCAATTTATCAGACTATCGCCTACTCTGCTCACTTTTAGTCGATCTCTGAAAGACTCTCTCTTCAGGGAAGCCTATCCTGCCCTCAGCTAATACTGGAATCTTCTACTCTTCCAACCAGTCCATCCCCCACAGTTACTACCTTTTGTACCACTAGTCCCTCCCTCCTAGATTGTAAGCTCCAAGGAGCAGGGCCCTCAAATCCCTCTTGTATTGAACTGTATTGTCTCCTGTTATATTGTAAAGCGCTGAGCAAACTGTTGGCACTATATAAATCCTGTATAATAATAATTGCCTCTCAGGGGATCAGGAAGGAATTTTTTCCCCTGCTGGAGCAAATTGGATCATGTTTGCTGACTTTTTTGCCTTCCTCTGGATCAACTGTCGGTATAGGATTAAAACTTTTTTTTTTTTTTTTTTTTAAATGGTTGAACTGGATTGACTTTTGTCTTTTTTTCAGCCAGACTAACTATGTAACAACCTTTTGGGACACATAACATGTCCCAGAAGACTGCGGGAACCAAAGCACAGCGCTGCTTACACATATGCAGTGGTAAGTTGGCTGTGAAACAGTGAGTCACACCCAGCTTCCCACAGTAAACATGCCAGGAATCCAGAAACCGGCAAAGAAGCGGCCTGGATGAGGACGGCGCTGGATCCCTGAACAGGTAAGTGTCCTTTTATTAAAAGTCAGCAGCTACAGGATTTGTCAGCAGCTACAGAATTTTTTTCTTGCTAGGGTAAAATATCCTCATCATCATTGGGCCAGTTTGTGAGTATGTTTGCAAAGCTGCCTATGCAATCACTTTACGAAACATTGGGGAGAGAGATATCATATTACCCCTGTACAAATCATTAGTAAGACCTCATCTGGAATATGCAGTTCAATCTTGGGCACCAATTCACAAAAAAAAACATTGGGGAACAGGAGAAAGTACAGAGAAGGGCAACCAGACTGATAAGAGGCATGGAGGAGCTCAGCTATAAGGAAAGATTAGAGGAACTGAATTTATTCTCTCTTGAGAAGAGGAGATTAAGGGGGGATATGATCAACATGTATAAATACATCAGTGGTTCATATAGTGAACTCGGTGTAGAGCTATTCACCTGAGGTCATCACAGAGGACAAGGGGGCACTCTTTACGTCTGGAGGAAAGGAAATTTAATCTCCTAAAACCAAGGTTTCTTCACAGTGAGAGCTGTGAAAATGTGGAATAGACTCTCTCAAGAGTTGGTTCTGGCCAGCTCAGTGGATTGCTTTAAAAAAGGCCTGGATTCTTTCCGAAATTTACAGGATATAACTGGATACTAACATTTATAGGTTAAGGTGATCCAGGGAATATCCTATTGCCTCTCGGGGGATCAGGAAGGAATCTTTTTTCCCTTCAGGAGCAAATTGGATCGTGCTTTGCTGGGGTCTTTTTTTTTTTTGCCTTCCTCTGGATCAACTGTGGGTATAGGATTATAACTTTTTTGTTTGATGGTTGAACTGGATGGACTTTTGTCTTTTTTCAGCCAGACTAACTATGTAACTATGGTTAAAAGAAATGTTTGCATATGTAAGGTGGTGGGGGCATTGTCGGACTCTCATTCTAAAAATACAAGTTGTCTGGCTGTCAAAATAGAAGCTGCCTGGAGTCACCAACCTGGAACAAGTAAAAGAGAAGTAGTTCTGAATTCACCTTGACTTTCTTCATCTGTCTACCTCCAGGTCCGTTTCTAATACATAATTAGACCCAAGTATCTAGTATTTCCAGGAGGTCAACAATTGCAGCCTCTGTACTTCTCAGTATAGGTTCCCCTTGCAATAAACCTGTACAAAGAGAATTATGTAAATTGTCAGTTCTAGTTTTGCTTGGTGTCATTCACTGACCCATTAAGCAGATAAAGTCGTTAGAAGTGCATCTCACTCGTTTGAGGCCAGTGACTCCAAGCCCATTAAAGCAATTAGATCAACAAGCTAGACAGACAGGTAAATAGCATATACAACAGGAAAAGATGGCTTATATCCTTCTCAGTAAAAGTGTCCCTTAATGCTATGTTCTTTACCTACTCAGGTGTTTGTGAACTTTGCAAAGAAGCAGAGCGACAACCTAGAGCAACAGGAGGCCAATCCCGCTTGTGCTGTCCCCTCCCCTATGGAACGAGTGCTGAGTCTCCTGCGACCCCGGACCACACCCACAGAGCTGCGGGCCCTCGTGGTGGAGGAGCCTGAAGATCTAGAGACAGATGATGAGGGACTCATCAGCTTTGAGGAGGAAAGGGTAAGAGTGGGGACAGGTCTAATAATTCCTACTTCTACAGTTGTGCATAAAAACCAGTAGAAGACAAAATGCAGATTGTGTTAAAGGAGAAGTTCTGTAACATGTTAGATGATGCCCCCTGAATATAGGTGTGACATGTAAAATATTCTGAAAGGACTGCCCCCCCCCCCGATCCCCGGTTGTGACAGCTATCAAAATTTTTTTTAAAACATGGCCGTGTGGAGCTCTACCTACTCGGTTGCATCACTCATTCACAGTATTCTGTGAATGGGAAAACTACAAGTTTTTTCATTTTTACAAATTTGTTTTATCATTTTGTTATATTGTTAGATGTACATTTATTTATATATCATACCACTGAATTACTTCATTGTTATTATATACACGTCATTGTTTTTTGGGGGTTTTTTTTTGCACTAATGATGCCATGTAACATTTAGCGCTGCACTTTGTTCATTTTTACATTTTGTGGGATTTGTTGTCACTGTCTTTTTGTGCTAGCGGCTTTCTGTATCAGCGCTCGCCACATATCTGCATTTATCGCAAGTTCTGACAGCCTTTGCTGTTGTCATATTGTAGTTCTCAATTAACTACCATGGTGCTGGTGGGGGGGGGGGGGGGGGGGTGGAAGAGAAGGATTTTCCCTCGCTTTAGAAAAATTTAATTTCCTGTTGTGTCTCTAGGACAGATAGTCAGGGGAAATCTAACCCTGCTCCTTTAAACACTTTAAATAGTTAGTTTGGACTGAGCTGGTCCAAGAGAACAAATTTTGGAGCTTAGTGGACATGTGAGGTCCCCACGTTGGATGATGATTGGTGGAGAAGGGTTTAAATTCCAGACTAGGAGAAGTTCCTTTTTCTGGTCTGAGTTTACCAGCACTCATTGGAGAAGTTAATTTTGGGTATATGGATCCCTGATTATTCATCTGAGAGATCAGAATCAATGCTACTATAGCAGTAGCTTTCTGGTGAGTTCATAGCCATAAGCGGTGGGGGATTCTATCACTGGATTTTATAGCACTTTTTTGGATTTTCAGCATTGGTATTGCTGTGATTTGTAGTGCCACGGGCACTTTTTTTTAAATTATTTTTTCATTTTTACTGATTTTTTTTTATCATTTTGTTATATTATTGGATGGCCATTTATGTATCATACCACTGAATCACTTCATTATTTTTATTATATACACTTCATTGTTTGTTTTTATTTTGCACTAATGATGCTATTTAACATTTAGTGCTGCACTTTGTTCATTTTTATGTTTTGTGGGATTTGTTGTCACAGTCTTTTTGTGCTAGCGGCTTTGTATCAGCGCTCGCCAGATATCTGCATTTATCACAAGTTCTGACAGCCTTTGCTGCTGTCAGCTTGTAGTTCTCAATTTACTACCATGGTGCTGTTGGGGGGAGAGGAGGATTTTCCCTCGCTTTGGATACTAACATTTATAGGTAAAGATGATCTAGGGAATATCCGATCTGGGAGGAATTTTTTTTTTCCCAGCAGGAGCAAAGTGGATCATGCTTTGTTGGTGTTTTTTTTGCCTTCTTCTGGATCAACTGTGGGTGTAGGATTATAACTTTTTTTTTTTTCTAAGGTTGAACTGGATGGACTTTGGTCTTTTTTCAGCCAACCTAACTATGTAACTATTTCCTGTTGTGTCTCTAGGACAGATAGTCAGGGGAAATCTCACCCTGCTCCTTTAAATAGTTAGTTTGGGCCAATCTGGTCCAAGAGAATAAATTTCCTTCACTGATCTGTGCACGATCTGAGCTGTATGAAATATATGTAGCATCAGCTACAGTACAGATACAGTAGTGCCATGTTCCAGCAGCAGTAAGGGGACCTTCAGAGCGGCGGGTGGATGATATCATGATCTCCACCTCAGCCAGTCAGAGAAAGCATTGTATTCAATAACAGTATAAAAGGATTCCTGTGAATGGCTGAGCAGCATCCAGGAACAGGACGGGAAGTCGTAATACAGCTGCCGAACACAGCCCTGTATACTGTATGTAGCTAGTTTTATACAGTTCTGACAGTGGACCAGGGGCAGACTGACAACTCATGGGGCCCCCGGGCAATAGGGGATCATGCGGCCCCTGTGTCATCACCCACACCCGAAAAAGCCAATGAAAGGTACCAGGGGCATCTCATGGGGCCCCCTACTGACCCCAGGCCCTCGGGCAGTGCCCGACTGCTCGAATGGTCAGTCCGTCCCTGCAGTGGACATGTTTTGGTAAAGGACATAGTTCGTTTGGACCAAACAAACTATTTAAGTTAAATGAAACCTAGAATTAGTCAAACTCCTGAATAAGCTATTTTCTGTTGCTTAAAGCAGAGCTCCACCCAAAAGGGGAGGTTCCGCTTTAACGACTGCTCCCCCGCTCCCCATTAAGAATTGGCACCTTTTGGTGAGCGGCTCCCTCCCTGTAGTCTTTTGGGACACGTGACAAGTCCCAGAAGACTACAGGACCATTGCTACTCGCGCATGCACAGTGGGTGCCCGGCTGTCAAGCCACAAGCCATCACAGCTGGGTGCCCACAGTGAAGATGCCGGCCTCCTGGAATACAGGACGGCCGGTGAAACGAGCTGCGGGGGGACGCACCACGGGACAGGTAAGTGGTTGTTTTTTAAAAGTCAGCAGCTACAGTTTTTGTAGCTGCTCACTTATTTTTTGATAGGTCAAGCGGAACTTTGTAACACCCCTGATAGTATTTTTCAATGATACATCACTATAGACCAGTGGTCTCCAAACTGCGGCCCTTTGCTTGCTTTTATCCGGCCCTCAGGGCATTATTGTCAGGAATGGACTGGCCAGCAATAGTGGGACTCACCTGCCTTGTGAGCTGCAGTACCAGGGCTGGCCAGCGGGTGCTCCCAGCAATCAGAGACTCAACCTTGCAGCCAGTCAAACACCTGGAACTAATTATACTGGTGTATTTAAGGGACATTCAGACCTGCAGACTCTGCCTTGGTGTTGTGTTTTTCCTGGGCCCTGTATCTTGTTCCTGCATCCTGCTCCTGTTCCTGTCTTGTTGCTGACCCGGCTTGATTCTGACCTCTGCTGACTTCTCCTGTTCTGATCCCTGGCTTGTGACCCCGACCTTTCTCTGCCTGACCCCCTGTACCTACCTGCCTGTTAGTTACTGTACCCTGCTCGTGACCTGACTATTCTCCGCTTGCTCCCCCTGTACCTACCTGCCCGATTGATATTGACCCGGCCTGCCTGACGACGCTTGCATTGTATGTACTGTTATCTGTGGGTGGTTTGTTTGGTTCGTTTGCACTGTGTTATGTTTTAGTATTGCACTGCGTTTATGTTTGTATTGTTAGTGTTAATAAATTGTTTATAACTTATCGGAAGTCTGCATTTCCCTGCGTCAGTCGCACACCTCTGGTTATACCCGGGAGCCCTGACATTACACCAAGGCCAATCCTGACCAGAAGTGGCTGCACAGGGAAGCCATCTTGGTTTGTTGATGGGAAGGATGGATCTGGATGAGGTTGCGTATTTATATCTGCTAGTGTTTGATGACAGGGAGTATGCTTATCAAACTCTGAAGGAGTATACCCGGGATGAACTGCTAGAATGTATACGGCTCGCTCATGTTCTAGTAGATCAGGGCACAGAGTTCTCTGAGGTGCAGCCATTGATTGAGGTTTGTGCTGAGTTGGTTTCATCTGGTTCCCCCGAATGCAGGGATGAATTTTTGCCACCATTTAGTGCAGACCAGGTAGAGTCCCTGGTCTGGTTATTAGAGGATGATGTGGGTTACTTTCTGGAGCGTTATTCCACATGTTCACCACAGGTACTAAGAGATTGTATAAACGCAGTGCAGTCTTTGGTCAGACAGGCTTTGTGTAAGCTCAGCTTTGTTCAACCCATACTGCAGACATGGACAGATTTGTTACACCCAGCCTCAGTCAGCTTACAAAGACCCAGTCCTGCTTCTAATCTATTTCCTCAAAGCTCTACTCCTGTATTCCCAACAGCTCCTCCAGTTACAGCCCAGTATACTTGGCTATCTACCGCATGTCAGTACCCTGTTCCCACTCGCTGCACCTATCCTGCCTTTAACCCTGTAAAGAAGCCCTCTGTAGCGACTGTTCCTTCCCCTGTTCCATCCTCCAGCTCTTCTCTGTCTCCAGCTGCTCCATTCATTTGCAGACCTGCGTTTACTTGCAGTGCCCCAGTAGTTAAAACCAGAAAAAAAGCGAAAATTCTTTCCAACCAATACCATCCTGCCAGTATCCAAACCGGTGAGCCTACCGTCTGAGAACCTGCCTTCCGTGGTTCAGCCTGAAGCCTCTACTCAGCCTGAAGCCTCTACTCAGCCTGAAGCCTCTACTCAGCCTGAAGCCTCTACTCAGCCTGAAGCCTCTACTCAGCCTGAAGCCTCTACTCAGCCTAAAGCCTCTACTCAGCCTAAAGCCTCTACTCAGCCTAAAGCCTCTACTCAGCCTAAAGCCTCTACTCAGCACAATGAACTGATCCAGGCTGATGATCCTATTAGGCCAGTTGACTCGATGCCCGCTGTTGATCCAGATGATCCGGTACCTGATCCGGTGCCCGCTGTCGTGCCAATTGACTCGGTGCCCACTGCCTTGCCAGACGACTCGGTGCCCGCAGTTCCGCCAGACGACTCGGTGCCCGCAGTTCCGCCAGACGACTCGGTGCCCGCAGTTCCGCCAGACGACTCGGTGCCCGCAGTTCCGCCAGACGACTCGGTGCCCGCAGTTCCGCCAGACGACTCGGTGCCCGCAGTTCCGCCAGACGACTCTCGGTGCCCGCAGTTCCCGACGACTCGGTGCCCGCAGTTCCGCCAGACGACTCGGTGCCCGCAGTCTTGCCAGACGACTCGGTGCCCGCAGTCTTGCCAGACGACTCGGTGCCCGCAGTCTTGCCAGACGACTCGGTGCCCGCAGTCCCGCCAGACGACTCGGTGCCCGCAGTCCCGCCAGACGACTCGGTGCCCGCAGTCCCGCCAGACGACTCGGTGCCC